ATAACTCTAACACCGGGAATAGTTTGTTTAATAGCTTAGAAGATTGCTCCCAGATAGATAATAAACAGAATCGGGGAAACTGGTGAGCCCTGTGGAACCCCTGTATCTATAGTCTGCGCGGAATATTGCTGTTGGTCGATAACCAACTATATTCTGCGATCTGCTAGAAATGATTGTACCCAGCGGTATAGATCTCTGTCTATACCTAGCTCTAGTATTTGCTTTACTAGTCTTATAGTGTCCACGTGGTCAAAGGCCCCTTTTATATCCATAAACAGGGCTCCAACCAGCTGTTTTTGGCCCCATGTCTAGTGCACCTCCTGAATTAGGCAGGCTACTGTGTTAATTGTACTACATTGTTTTCGGCTTCCTATTTGCCCCTGATATAGAACACCAGCTATCTTGCAGTAGCTAGAGATAGCTTCTGCTGCCACTTTCTCTACTATTTTCCCTATACAGTTTAGTAGACTGATCACCCTGTAGGCCTTGACCATTGAATAGTCAGGTTTATTAGGCTTGCGTAGTAAGATTCCCTTTGCTGTCTTCCATGCCTGTGGGTGTAGACCTAGCCTAAAGCACTGGCGTACTAGTGCTACTATTCGTGTGGTATCCCAGCTCTATAGTAGTCTCAGTACCCGGAAATTGAGATAATCTATTCCGGGTACCTTTTGAACTGTCTGACTGAATAGGACTTTCTGAACTATATTATAGTTTACCTGTAGATATATAGTACCTTGAGGGATTGCTTCTATTATCTCACTCCTAGAAGCTTTAGAGAATAGGACTTCTCTAACCAGAGCTTTCTTTTTATCTAGGGTAGTTGCTTGCTGTCCCTAGGGGCCTTTAAGTACTGGCGTAGTTTCTGTAGTCTGCGGTTTGCAGTATCTTAGTGTCTGCCAGTATCGGGTTGAGTCTTTAGGCTCTGTCTCTGCCTCGCCTGGCTGCCCTGTTAGAAAGGCCTCCCAGTATTCGTGCTTTGCCTTTCTAATAGATTAATAGTAGCTATTCCTGGCCCTCTTTAGATTCTGATCAGTATCTAGATCTGTTGCCCATATCTGTTTAGCTCGTGCGAATCTTCGCCGGCTGGCTTTGACCTGCGGTCCCCACTATTGTTTAGAGAATGGGGTTACCTGTATTGGCCTTGTATATTTGCTCAGTATCTCTGTCAGAGCTGTTTGTAGCTATACTGTCTTATTTTCCACTTCAGCCCTGCTGCAGCTATCTAGTAGAGCGGGCTGATTAGCTGCTAGGGCCTTCTATATCTGTCTAGTATTTTCTAGGGCTTCTGGATCTGCTTCTAGATCCCTAATTTGCTATCCAGTTATCTGAGTACTGACTTCTGTAGATAGTCTTTCTTTTAGATCCTTCTATTCAGCTAGTATCAGCTTATGATCAGATTCTATAGGGTATTCATTATCAATTAGCCAGCTAGTCAAAGGGCCTAGCTCTGGGGTTGATATTGTTAGATCAATAATCGAGATACCAGAAGTCTGCTTAGGTCTGGTAGGAATATCTGGCTTATTATTAATATACAGATTGAATCTCTCAATCAGATCCTCTAACAGCGCTGTATTAGTATGTTGACTAGTCTGGGGATTCTATATAGAACTGTAAGCATTAAAATCCCCCAGTATTAGGTATCTTTCTTCTACTAGTAGGTTCTATTCAGCGTCATTAATCGCTCGACGACGCCTAGGGCTAGAGCCCTGCCAGCAGTAGTCCTCACCCAGCCAGTTGTCATAGCAGTTAACTATTCTTGTTCTTCGGGTGCGGTTTCTATCCTTATCCAGATCCCAGATATCTAGAGCTAGTATATAGGGATAGTTAATCAAATCGGTTCTGGCTTCAGTGATCTTCTGATTTAACAGATCTTTTCGAACTCCTATCAGCACTCTACGGTACTTATGTTCTCCTTTCTCCGGCCAATATAGTAGATAAGCGGAGTGTCGGAGTTCCCGTGCAATATAGGGCTCCTGTAGACATATTATATCTGCCTGTCTTTGGAGCCCTGCTTCCAGTTTAGTTAATTTATGTTAGTATAGTATTTTAATAACTTGGACCCACGTGTGGATATGCCAAGGAAGTCTTTATCAATATCTATATATTTAAATGATATGTAGACAGTCTTCCAGCCAGAATAGTTATAGTTGGATAATATCAGCTGGCGCACAACTCTGATGTAGCTATTATCGAGTCTTTTCCTTATGTAATGTCTAGAAGCTATAGTATACTTAATATTTTGGCTATCCTAGTCCTGCAGAAGATTATCTATCAATTTAGTTTCTATTTCTTGTGTTAGTACTCTATCAATAATTCAATTATTTTGAGACAAACTATCGAAATATATTATTATAGCCGCTCCCGATAATCCTTCTGGATATGTCTTAATTACCTTGTATACTTGACCCATGCAGGAAAGGAATAGTAGTAGAGCAGTAAAAAGATACATAATATCAAATAGAAAATTTGTTCGGCCGAGTGATTTGTAATATAAGAATTAGACTAGTTAGACAGACTATGTCAAGGAAATATCTACTATTCAGGGTAGAAGACCTGTCAACTAGGTAAGGGTACGTAGGCTGAAAGCTAAGCAGTAGATATCAGGCAGACAGAAGACTGATTCTTGCCTTCCTCTTTCATTAACACTAGGCTAACTTTATATCCAGAAGAAGCCCCTTATTCTCCTAACAGGATACGACTGACAAGGAGCTACTATACGCTATTGAAAAGACGACGGATATGTGATCTGTCGTCGCCGTTCGGCCTCCGAGCTGTATATGCACAACGGGCAGGGTATACGATGCAGTCATTATGCAGAGTCATTATCGGATCTGTGACAGCACCACGCACTAGGGTATAGAAAACTGAAGTTACCCTTGGGCAGAATTCGGAATAACAACTAAGTAGGCGGAACGGGGAAGACAGCGGAGCTCTCAGGAGCCACTTCTATTGGCCTACACATATTCTGGTGGGACAAACTAGCCTGATTCGGATGATAGAACAGAGAGGGAAAGCCAAGACTTCGCATAGGAAATTCGCTACGTAGGTAAACAGCAAGAAACTCGGGTACTCATCTCCAACCCCCACAATTCTATCCCCAACAGCATTGCCAACTCTACTCCGTATTTTGCTTGGCCACTGAATTAATTTACTACTAGCACACGCTAAAATTACTAAGAATTCCCCCCTTCTCCATTATTTTCCACGTTTTAGCCTCTTTATTTTATTGTCTCCCTCCATCGCAAAAACAAGCCCGCATGTAAAAACGCCCATATATCCGCCCTCTACTATAAGAGGCACCGAAGTGACCTATCTACCTCTAACAATACAATTTGAGGCTCCAGATACGTGTTCCAGCTATTTTAATAGATATTGGATCCGATCAGAATCCAGAGTATACCAGCTCTTTGGAGTATCTTGGGGAGTAAAAAGTTGGTTATCAGTATTATACTAACACCACTGCTTGTTGTTTTCCGCTGAAGAGACATCTTCCGTGAAAGTTGATAATGATGCTTCACTTACAGAGCCGCCCATGTTCGCCTTCCATGTTGGAGACAGAGAGATACTCTTTCAATCCCTAATCACATAATTCGGTAAATACACACGTTTTGTACATACCTGTAATAATACCAGTCCCTTTTTATAGATCGCAAAACAGATACAAGAGCCTATAATTAGAAGGCTAGACTACCAAGAAAAAGTAATAGTGCAATTACAAAAGTGGCCAACTGATTACGAATACTAAAATTTCACTAGTTACAGTGGTTGCAGCTCAGCTAGACCCTACTAGTAGGTGGCGCCACCCTTGAGGCGCTTAATAATCAGGTTTTTCATGAGCTCCTTGTTTCCCCTTCTGACTAACTGGATCACGAAGCTAAACGTAACCTGGTTAGTACACGTCCTTCCGTACTCGACCACGCCAAGCACATTGAAACCACCAAATCGCCCTACCCGACCTGGGACTACGGACAACGGCGCCAGTCTATTGCAAGAGCATCACGAAGTGCAACCACGGGCGCGGATAGATTGCCACGCACTTTTGGCAGCGGGAACACGGGAGAACACGAAAATTTGACCAATCAGCGGGCGCGGATGCGATATGTACGTACATATCCCAGGTACTAGGGTATAGACCCGTGCCGCGGAGCTTCTCAGGTCAAAGCTTACCCGAAATACGAGTCTCACCCATCTATTTCCCTGCGCTTTGCCCACAAAAGACTAGTGCTATCCCCGAATCACAAGCGAATTCTTTCTGAGACTCTACAGTATGCAGAGCAATTATACTAGTTATAAAGAGCAAATACATTTCCAGAATTAAGTATACAGTAATACCAGAATGCTCTTTTGCGAATAAATCGAGGGAGAGGGCGAAGTGGCCCGTATTCATCCGGTGTGGGCCGTTCCGATTTCTTGCCAACACCAAGCCACACTTATGTAGTAGCCCTCTACTCTATAAAATATGCTACGTATAATTGATTCATATTGAATTTATGGATAAAATACGAAGAAATTAGGATCTCATAGTTCCAAGTAGTGATAAAAATCAAGAAAGGGGATTGTAGTAGTAGTAGTAGTAGTAGTAGTTGTTGTTGTTGTTGTTGTTGTTGTATCGTATATATATATATATATATATATATAAACTTTGGTATCCCACTGCCAAAATTTAGCAGCTACGGCATCCAATGATAAAAAGCACTGCTGAATTAAAATCATAAAAGCGGTACATAAATAATTCCGAACTAGCCTAGCCGATAGTCCGATGATTGACCCTGTAGGGCATTATACTTAATAGGAAATATAAAGGCCTTTTTCAGATAGATTTAATTGGCTGAAATATGTGGCGCTGAGTGTTTGGTAAAATTAGTAACTTAAGTTACAACAGTTGGTGGTTCCCTGCGGAATCTCCCGTCGATTGAGTCCTCCGTTCGGCCAAATACAGTCCATGTCACCTGACAGTAAGGATCTTTGTTCCTTGCAGTTGTGGAAGCTCACGAGTTGGACACCTACTAAAGCTGTGGAACCTGGGAAGAAAAACCAGTGATCCTCGCAAGAGACTTTGCAACTTGACATCTGGAGCAGCCCAGGATAATGAGTGCCAATACAGGGCTTGGCCTTACGCGTCGTGATAAACAATGTTCCTACTGCGCCCGTGCATTCGCCCGATCGGAGCACCTTGCCAGACATGAGCGCTCACGTATGTTGACCCACCATGGTGGGAGCAAACAATTTAACCAGATCTATAGATCGTAATGAGCGCCCGTTTAAGTGTACTCTTTGTCATGCAACCTTTACTCGACAGGATGTTTTCAGAAGGCACCACGGAAGGTACCACATGGGACCCTTCCCGCAACATCATACGCAAGGGAACTACATTGAAAATCAGCCGATGTCGATGCATCCCAGATCCACGCAGATATCTAGTCCCTTAACCTCATCCGTCATGGCACCAAATGATACTGAGTCCTTAATCGCTATGCCACATCCTGCCGTCGACCCCGTAACCTTCGTGTATATCCCGACTATAAGCTCTTCGACCTCAGCGCTCAACTTTCCAAACGATCTCAAATCTTCCATGCCGAGCAATTCGGAAGAAAGTTCACAGGAAGGTTCACAGGAAGGTTCACATGCCAATCTGGCATTGAGGTGCTTTACACCTCCCTTAGAGAACCATACCACCACTGAATCCTCATCGCAGGTGGTGGAGTCCCCGGCGTGGAAAGGTTCGTTCACCATATCAGAACAACAATGGCATCAGCTAGCTTCAGAGCAACAATGGCATCATCTTGCTTCCACACTCAATATCGTTAGACCAGTAAGCTTTGACCTGATGCCTGGGACAACGCCAAGCCCTCACATCCACTCAGTGCCTGACTATTCACATACTAGGTCGAAAGCTTGAGTGATCTCAAACTTCCGAGTCGCTTGACGTTGGAGAGATTACTCAGAACATTCGCCGAGTGCTTCCTCATTTACATCCCATGTATTCATATGCCGACCTGGAAAGCCGAGCTGGCTCCTCCTTGCATGATCTTCGCGATGGCATCCATAGGCGCCAGCTACTACGACGACGATGCAACTGCAGCTTCGCTTCATTGCATTGCTCAGATGTGCCTAAAAAATCATGTGAGCGAAGCATAACCACTATTTAGGCATGCTCCCTAATTTGAAGAAGATTGAATTGAGCCCACTCACCATCGCAGACGAGCCGCTATGGGTACTGCAGTGTCTTCTGTTGATCATGGCAAACGGCACGAAAAGCAGTGACTTTCGGACATTTCAAGAATCTGCATCGTTGGCATCTCTCTTGATTGAGGTATGTCTAAGCAATTTAAAGAATTCACCGTTTGGAGATTGCACTTGTGCTGCCTGCTGGTCTGCCCCACTCTGGAATTCTTACGTTCCGATAACTACCCAGAACGAGGTCACTGATATATAGTTTACCTCATAGGGCATCCAGTATAGAAAGATCTCCCCATACGTGCCGGAGCCAGACGGTGAAAATGATGATATTATAGAGCAATGGCAGAAGTGGATTGATTACGAGATGACTGTACGGTGCGTGGCGGTATCCTATCCTAGAAATTTAAAGTGCGTCTAACCCGACTTGAAAGAACAATTTGCGCAGTATATATCTATCTGGGCGCCCTAGGAGCCACATTTCACACTGCAAGTTATTCCTGGAGCCTGGATATCGGTGATTGCTTTCTGCCTTGTGACGAATCTGAATGGACAAGTATATCTCCACAAGCGTGGTTGGTAAAGCGAAAGTCAAATTCCGAGCCCCCTATTCGATTCTCAACTGCCCTGGCCAATATCATGTCTGCCCAAGTTGCAGTACCGCTTCGACTGAGCGTTTTTGGATCTTACCTGACATTGCATGGCATTGTTAAACATCTGGCAAATCTCTACCAGGATAACTGGCTTATAGATCTATTGCCAACACACGTACAGCGGATCGAAGAATCGTTGGCTAGATGGCGCATGTGCTCCGAGCAGAACCCTGAGTTTCATTGTTCTTCGAGGTACCCTAGCGGAGTGATTGCGGCAAATGCCCTTTCGTTGTATCGTCAGGCTCATGTCCGACTGTGTGGAAACTTCAGGCCTCTCAGAGCGGCCTTCACCACCCGAAATGTGCAAATTATTACTTCAAAGGTGAATGATATCAAAGTCAACATATCAAGCTCTAGAACATGTGTGAAAGCCGCTTGGTGTGCGATTAAAGCACTCCAGACTTCAGTAGTAATGGGAATGGCTCAGGCTGGATCCATATCTGGATGGCACTCTAAATTATTATTCAACACGTATTCATTGGAATGCTGTGAGTAATTTCATTGCTTTCACTTACCCTTTCCTTGTCATTCACTCGTCCTCTCCTGCGCTGATAATAATGACAATTAACCGAAAGTATTCCAAAGGTCTTTTTTTAAGTTTTTGGACGAGGGAGCAGTTGCGTCGCAATAGATCTGATCGATCCTCTGAGGAAAATGACATTTTAAACGCAATACAAGAAACGCTAGCGGAAATAGACCTAGATCCAGACAATGCATCAAAGCCATATTCGATACAATTGGTCTATGCCTGGTCCTTGATCTTCAAGAACAGTGCTACGATTGGATTGTACAGCATCATTTCTGAGGTTTTGAAAGCTTACGCAGACAACCTAACCCAATAGCTTGGGAGGTCAATTTTCTTTTCAGGTTCTAGGTTTGTATAGACTTATAGACATATAGACTGTGAACCTTTCTCTTGTCTAGGCTTTGAAATATGCATTGCTACCTTCCATTAACTACATGAATTAACTTAGTCGTCCTGTAGCTGCCTACAACTGCCTCGGATATATATTTAATTATAGACATTTAAACATTTGTGTGGTATTGTCTTCAACACCCAGGGACTGTGTAGAATTCCAGAGAAGATAAAATCTACTTGATCCAACGTTATCTATTAATTTACATGGGGTATATTGTGAGCAGTACCATGTCAAGCTACCGAGAGGTTAGCTGGGGCATCCTATTCTTAGCTATACTTTATACCTAGCAGCACTCTCCTGTGATAGTGCTACTGCTGATTATGGGGTTCTCAAGTACTATTCTTCTCGGCATGAAATCCTTTATCTTTCTATATAAGTTAACGTTTGCTTGCTACTATACATATCTATAATTCATCCAATCGAACACATTCAAGGAGTGCGCTATAGTCTCACGTATATACATATACACATGTATAAAATATGAAATTCAATTTCCAAGTACTGGTCATCAACTGGCAGTTCTAGACTCTAACGCCGGGCAAAGACTCGGGCGTAGAATGGCGATGTTCAACCCCTTCCATGACAGTTCGAACAGTTCGGGCGCCGTACACCAATATCTTCTTTATGGCTGCCACTCAGCCTCAACGAACCAAATTGTGCTCTTCGGGGGCTTCCATGCATTCAGGAACTTAAATCGGGGATCGGCTACTTTGAACAGACCTATCCAATCATCCAAAGCCCTTTCGCCGGTGTTGTTCACTGCCTGTCCCAAAAGATCCATACATCTAATACTTCGATATTCCATCCATGGGACAGCCCCGGGCTCAGGAATCACGCCGTCGTTGATAACAATCTTGGCTCCTTTCTTAAGCACCGGAATCAAAGCCCGTAAAACCTGGATAGCATACTTCTCCGCAAAGCCGTGAAAGACCCAACGGAAGAAGTAGACATCTGCTACTACAGTCTGTGGTTTCAACAGGTCATGTACCTCAAGCCTAACTCGGGACTTGAGATGTTGTGGCACGGCAGCCTTTGTCTGTTCTGTGATTGTGTGCTCTTGATCCTGAACTACAAAGTTCAGATGGGGGTATACTTCCGCAATTGCAATCGAGGCAAAGCCACCACTGCCTCCACACTAAAAAAAGCCAAGATTTGAAAATTAGAACCACGTCCCATGGATTCACAGATGGGAAATAGGGGGATGGTACTTACGTCAACAACTGTTCCCTCACCAATATCTCCCCATGGATAACCGGTCACGGTGTGCGAGACATCAAATCCAACACCACCGCCATGTGCCTTCATACTTTTGCTATATCTATCGGCGACAACATCATTGCGAGAAGTATGATCGAACCAACTGAGATTATGGTTATAGGCCACATTAATACCAGTCTCATTTGGCTCCCCACTCCCGGGCCATCTCCGCAGAGCTTCAACTGTATAGACAAAGCCAGGCCACATGTCATTACAGAATAGACCTACCCAGGCATCCAAGGTTTCCTCCTCGAGAAGAACTCGGGATGTCCGATTGTGCATAACGAATCCAAGTTCCGGCTCACAGAAGAAGCGGTTCGTGATAGCGTGGCGGACAATCCGTCGGAATGTAAACAGTGGTACCAAAACTCCACTCAATTGATGGCACTTCTCCGCCAGGTCTTCATATGATATTTTTCCGGTCAGTGGGACAGCCTGTGGGACCCTGAATGTCCAAATGGCATGTAGGGATAATGGATCCATGGCCTGTGAAGCTATATTAGTGATATTCCTTTTTCTTTTTTTTGTTTCTCATATAGGTGAAAGTTGCCCAAACCTACATCCCAGCAAAGGTTTCGAATATGATCCTTTGGACCGTGGGAAAGGGCATAAAGCTCTTTTGATGCTGCAATCAGCTCCAAACGAGCCTCATAGGCATCTTTGTCGTCAGCCGAAATTGCATAGTCAGCTAGTCCATCAACATCGAAAGAGGGAGGCTCAAGTCCCTTGGAGGCCAGGAAATCCGAGATGGCTTTTGTCTTCTCCGCAATGACATTAGATAAGACAATCAGTCGATTTGGGGACGCGATCTTCGTCATCTTGGGCTAAAATAATCAGAAAGATATTCTTCTCTCGCTATAATCAAGGTAGATAGAATGGCGATATATTTCTTTTCTTGTAGCTACATCGGGGGTTTCTAGCCTCATTTATATACTAATATCGCGATACAGCACATTCCATGTCATCCTACAATATGGTGCACTTTGACTTGCATGCCTTTTTCTTACCATCTTATTCATCTTCCACGATCATACATACACGCTCATAGTTTTGATTTTGTATTGTAACAGTTTGTCTCATGTGGTAAATTAGTTCTGAACCCACTCTATTCCTAGAACAGACAGACTTATCGCCCTCCGACTTCTCTACTCTTCAAAGCATGTCCTATCATAACCACACAATGCAACATATTCGATATGGCAACAACACTACACACAACCTCCTCCCGCCTCATCGGACTTTATTCGACCTCCGCATTACCCCACCAGTATATGTGGCGGAGCCAATGACCCACAAAACCGATGAGTGGATTTATTCTTTACATGAAAATTTAGCAATAGGGCTCCTGAAGGAAGAGGGGCATGCACAGGCAAACTTAAAAAGACAAGCGTCAGCCTTCAGCGGGTTGCCGGTACGGATCCGCCCGGCAGCTTATTGCTCGGCTAGAGTATGCGTCGTATGTAAAGGCTTAGCCCTGGCCAATACCTCCCGAGATAGCCATTTTCCCGATGTGGTATATGGTAAACCCGGCCTCAGAGGGCCGCCACGTAATGTATGGACGGAAGTACTTTTATTGCCCTATGGCCCCCAAATCCTACTCCCCACCACCTCGCCATTCTTCACCCCCACCACGGAACCCCGTGTGCGAACAAAGTGGATGGAGAACAATGCCTTGCTTTCGCTATGTTCGGGAAATAAATTATATTGTTGTATCCGGGGTGTGTCAGAACTGTCCCAGCGTTCACGCCACCCAGCGATCCTTCTAACTGGATGATATGGATATCATCGAAACTCAATTGCATGTACCGAGGTCAGGTAACGGGGATTGAGTCTGGCCAGGGAATAGCTATATCAATACTAGTGGTAATAAAGGATTGGCTTTCGAGCTGAAGTGGTAACCGAATCAATCAGAGGGCGTTTCTTTAAATTTGTTTCTTTTGGAGCGGATGCAACCTCACAAATAACCGAGGCATGGGTGTCTGTTCTACGGTTCAGGCCAGTTGGAATGTACTCAAAGTAGTACATCTCTTGGGTTGGTTTTAGCTAGACTCCTAAAAACGGCTGAAGCTATGCCTGAGGCTGGAAAGTGCGCAACACGAATCGCATAACGGTCTTCGAACGTATTATATATGGTATTACTAAAATTTATTACAACATTCTATCAGTGAAAACGTAAACGTAGCTTGAACCGGAGGAGCCCACTATGGTACAGAGAGATACGTGGGCTTTTTTCCAAACACACCCGAGGATGGCAAGAGTATTGTAAAGGCATATAGATATAAGATTCGGGTTGCAACACCAAACTGGGGATCTAAGCAGCAGCCATGGCATTCTTCACGGCTTCTCCCCCAATTCTTGCTCTGCGAGCGAAAAAGGCCAAGATGAAAGCCACACCCATCGAAGCACATGCAAATGCAAATGTTACTTTGATTCCGTCCATGTAAGCGAGGCGGATTCCATCTAGACTGGAACCAAAGGACTTTAGCTCGGTTGCTCCGGCAGCTACTACAGCTGACGGGTCAACATCAGGTGCCGTTCGGGGAAGTTCAATGAGGAGGCGATTGGCGAATGCAGCTTGGGCACCGGATTGCATAAACGCACCACCCACAGTTTGGAAGCCTATACATAGGACAGAGTTAGATCCCGGACAGTACACGGGATAAGAAAATAACTTACACATTAGAATAGCCGTTGTCGCTGCCATGTCTTGCGGTTGGGTATTTCCCTGTGCCATGATCATCGGAACTTGGACTCCAAATCCATTGCCGACGCCGGCCAGAATTTGATAGCCAATCCATTTCCCTGTACTAGTACCGATATTGAATGTATATAACAGGCCACATCCGATTGTGCCGACTGCGGCCCCAGATATAACAAATGGTGCAGGATAGCCGGTCATGGAGATCAGAATACCACTAAGCACCGTGAAGATGGACACCGCGAGGATAAATGGCAGGTTGTGAACACCCGAGCCGATGGCGGATGTGCCATCAATACTCTGAAAGTAGATGGGTAGATAATAAATAACCACAATGTATGAGCCGAAGAAGAAGAAGCCCACTGCCGAGGGTATCGCATGCTTTTTTACCAAGCGAGGGCAAGACATGGCCATCTCGCCCATGTATATTTCCCACCCACAGAGAACGGCTAGAATCGCTACGAAGCCGACGATTAAGCCAATGACAACTGAACTGTTCCAGGGATGGGTCAATCCGCCATATTGCATTGCGAGGATATAGCAGGTCACGGAGGCCATCATCAAAAAAGTTCCAATAGGGTCCATCTGCATCACCTTCGACCACAACGACGATGTATCAGTAGACTTTGAGGCCGGTGGGCTTTGGAAAAAAACGATAATGAAGATCGCCGAGACAGCGCCTACTGGGAGATTGATGTAGAAGCACCATCTCCATGTGGCCTTTTCCGTAAAAACACCACCAAGAAGTGGTCCCACGACCGACGCAATTCCTATAGACTCAATATCAGCTCAGCCGGCACGTCTGTGAGAGTATTAGTCTCAAGCTCACCGTAGGAAAGACCAATCAATCCCGTAAATATCGGTCGTTTGTGGGGTGGTGCGCAAAATGCAGCCAGGGTGAAGGATCCTGTATTCACGCCTGCAGCACCTAAACCAGCGATCGCACGGCCAATAATCAGTGCTACCGAGGAAGGGGCGACTCCACAAATCAAACTCCCCACTTCGAAAATAAAAATTGCTAGCAGGAATGTGATCTTCAGGCTGAAAAAAAGATATGCCTTGCCCCCTTTCCGTCGTTGTTAGTGAGGGCCAGACAATGGAAGGCGGATGTCAAACTTACAGGCTGTTTGAAAGCCAGCAGTGACCAGGAAAAAGGCCGAACCGTACCAAGCTACATCTCCAAGACTATGGAAGTCATCTGTAATACGTGGAATAGCCGTAGCAATAATGGTCTAAGGGGAAACATCAATGTAAGCCTTTCTCGATCTCGTCATATTTTTTCAAAATAGAGCGTCCAACTCACGAAGTCCAACGAAGTCAAGAAGATTGCCAAGATCAAAGCAACAACGACGAAAATTAGTCGCAAGCCGGTCGGATATTCACCCTCATCTCCAGGTGAGGTTGAGGATTGCTGGTCGACGTTTGTATCCTGGAGCCCCAGGGATTTCTTTTCATCAGCACTTTCGTCGGCTACCATCTTGAAGCGTAATGGTGCGGAGACAAACCCGGGGCTGAGATGGTTATTTGGTAGGGCAAGACTTTTATTCTGAAATGAGCTAGGCTCGCACACTTTAATTCTAGCACCTATGAGCACACGTCAGGGACCGGAGTTAGGGGATAATCGAAAACGGGAAGCAATGCATCCATTCCTCCCGGAGATAGCCAACACCGGGACTGACAAAATCCGTGGGGGTAAAGGGATATCCTACAATAGTACTCGTAGGATATTTAATAAAAATCAGTATCATGGTCTGTAATTTGTAATTTAATTCGTTCCTCTACTGACTTTCTCTCGTATGGTGGTTTATATTATCAAACTTATTAGGGAGATCAGAATTCAAAGCAGTATATACAGAGTAATTTAAACTGTTAAAAAGGAAAGAATACTATATTAGTACCTCTAGTGTAGCTATATAGATGAGAATATGACAGCCTCAGTTGAGTTCCTATAAAAATCCAGCAATTGAGTAAATTCAGAAAACGAAGCCGCCATAACGTGACTCTAGAGTGATCCATGAAATTCATTTTGTCACTGATATCCTTGTTGAGTCGTCGGAATTAGGGGATAAGAGAAAAAGAAGAGCTTGCAAGCTGAGGGACTGAAGAGGACAAGCTTATCGCGGGTCCTTCCGGTTAATCAGTGGATCACCCCACCGGTGGGGTCGGTGGGGTCGGTGGGGTAAAGGGGGATCAGCTTAACGCCGTGCAATGTCCGGTGCATGTTGGCTGCCATTCATGTCATATGCGCCCACGATCTCTGATTTGCTCATACATTTAGCCTCTTGGACCGCTGTAAAGAGTACGGAGACGTGTCGCTAAAGTGAACAAACAAGTGGGCCAAAGGTCACGGGACCTCCAACCATCTGGGAGTCACTTCATAGATATTCGATGATATATGTCTGGTAGGTACCTAAGCTCTATACTCCGGTCCCTAATGTATTACCATCGATGTCCTTATTCTATTTGTGGGTTTCTTGATATATCTCGTGCGACCGTAGCCAAGCCTAGTCATATCATTCGAGGTTGTATGGCCTACGGCCCTTAAACTTGGGATCTTTGGCTTAAGTTTATTTTTTTAGCGGCTAGTAGCTACTTTTAACATACTAGTAACTGTACGTAGTAAGGAGGATCCGAGGCTTAGTCTCGCAGGCGCTGAGTCAGCAAGAAGGCCTCAAATCCTCGCGCATCCGCGAAGATTATAGGGAACCTCAAGCGACAATTCATATTACTATTAGTTACCTCTCTCTGTTAACTAACTAACTAACAGTAACTGATTAATAGAGATATCTAGCCGACTATTCTTTATGAATACCTTAGGATTAAGAACCTACTCTCGCAAGTCGTAAGCTAAACCATGATCCAGTCACACTATCTCAACCACAATATATATCCTCATATACACCTCTAGGAACATAATTTTTGCTGTCTTAAGTCTAGATTTCTTTCTCCTTCTTCAATTGGTTATTTTATTCTTTAAATAATAATAATACATTGGGACTATTGTCTTTCTTTCGCTGTATTCTTAAAGTCCTAGTTTTTCACAGTGTAAGAGCTGTTTAGGAAATAGCCCAATATGGCTAGACCTTTTTGAATTTTCCATTCTGGTCCCCGCGGAGCCCGAATCTCCGGCAGTTCATAGGCCCTATTGGCTAATAGTCACGGGATATACACTAGCGTAATTTGATAATTAGTAGGTATTGCAAGAATGTCTCCCTAATAGTCTATCGGGTCTCGACTCTCTAGACTTGGCCTACAATCCCTCCGATCATCAACTACGCATTTTCACGGAATGAGCGACACCGGTGCCCCCCGTAGTTCGCTCATAAAAGATTCATCCAATCTGATAAGAAACAGTCACGGTGATAATCCTGGGTTAGATTCGATCAAATGCAGCAGAAAACAGGATTTTGATTGGCGAAATGGAGTAGCGGGAGGTGTTGCTGGCTGCGCAGTGAGTCATTTCTTCCCACTACTCAGGATTTAGTACTGAAGCAAGATATATTTAGGCCAAGACGGTTGTTGCTCCAATAGAAAGGATCAAGATTCTGTTTCAAACGTCGAACCCGCATTTCCTGCGGTATTCAACCCGGTGGAATGGTTTAATCGAGGCCATCAGTCACATTCGGACATCGCATGGGATATCTGCACTCTTCAAAGGCCACGCGGCGAGCCTGATCCGCGTTTTTCCGTATGCTGGTACCAACTTCCTCGCATACGAACAACTTCAACGCGCAATTATATCCCAGACGGACACACCATTTCATCGATTCTTCTGCGGGAGTATGGCTGGTGCCATTTCTACTGTCTTCACATACCCTCTTGAGTTGATCCGCATCCGTCTTGCTTTTGAAACGGAACACAATAAATATTCCTCTTGGTTCAGGATTTGTCGAAATATCTTCTTTGAAAGCGGCGGTAAGGGTAGCTTATTAAATCTTTATCAAGGAATTGGCCCTACTCTGCTAGGCATACTTCCCTATGCCGGCACATCATTCGTAACCCACGATCTAATGAGAGACCAGCTGCGCTCACCTCTGTTTGCACCTTATACTCTTGAAACGGGATCGTCAACTCGACTGACTGCACTGGCCCAGCTTTTTTGCGGAGCAATCGCTGGTATTGTTGCTCAAACAGTTGCTTACCCAATTGATATCCTTCGGCGACGAATGCAAGTTGGAAATGTGATTGGTAGCAGATTAGGGATTCTAGAGACAGCTCGTCGCATAATTATAGAGAGAGGGGCTAGGGGTTTCTATGTCGGTTTGACAATTGGCTACGTAAAGATGGCTCCTATGGTGGCGACCAGTTTCTATGTCTATGATCGAATGAAGCGATTATTGGGCATCATCGAATAAAGATACTTTTTCTTCTGCCCGGCTCAACAAAATGTCTCTACCAATTAAGCACCAGCTATTTATTCACAGCTTGACGCCAATATCTTGGCTGTCCTTGGGCCCATTAGCCCATCTTTCATCCTCGAAATCCGTTGCGCGGTGGTTGGAACCTTCGCACGGTATGTTTCTCGGCGTATACGAGCACCCAGTAAGAACTGAATTGGCTGCAGTTTCAAACTCTTCGTATGCGTAGGCCTGGGGGTCATGGTTGAGCAACCAGTTAGGCCGAGGTTGAGCAAGAAGCTGCGGGTCTTTCCTCACTGCGTCCCAATCAGTTTTGACCCAAATATCTCGAGTCTCTAGACCCATCAACTGCCCAATCTTGCACCGCTCGTATCTAAGTTCTCATGTTTAGCATTTACAGTGGATACGCTTGCGGGCATGGCGTACCTCATTTTCTCCATAGTACGCAAAGCGAGGGGCACCTGTGATTTACCCGCGAGCTCCAACATGATTGCGATTGTGGCAGCATCCTCAACAGCTTGAGTTGCTCCCTGGGCAGATGTGGGGATATATGAATGCGCGGCATCGCCTATCAGAATTACACGGCCCTTGGAAGAGACCCAGGTTGGAAGGGGATCTCGGTAGATTATTTTGTGATCGAACAACTGATCGGGAGGCGTGATTTTGTAAACCTCCGCTATTCTTGGATCCCAACCTTCCACCACTTTGAGCGCATCCTCAAGCTTGGCAGGGTGAGTCCATGATTCTTCGATATCATACTCGTCAGGATGTGTGAGAACCCAAGTAATGCCCGTGTTGCGTTTGACTGTTGCAATAAGAGTGTGCACGTTGGAACCAATGAAGTTCATAACCGTGTCCTCGTCGCCGGGCAGCGGAATCCAGGATGTTGCCGGGTTTTCACGCAGCGATGGCTCTGGAACAAACCAGGCTCGATAGATGGCATACCCGCTAGGGCGGGGAAGGTCTTCCTTGCCCAGCACAAAATGACGCCCTGCGGAATGAACGCCATCTGCACAGATCACAGCATCTGCTTCCCACCGCTGACCGTTAACGATAACGCCAGCAGAGGAATCTGTCTCAAAAAACTCTTTGACATTGGTGTTCAGATGTAGCTCAATCCCGAGCTTCTGGAAGTATTCAAACATGCACAACAACAGATCGCCCCGTCGCCCAGTGTACCCCGACCCGGCAGAGTAGCCCTTCATCGGGTGACTCAACAGCATTTCTCCCTGGCTGTTATGGATCTTGTGCGTGGCGTAGTTGCAGCAGATTTCAGCGGCTTTCTGTTGGACTTTGCCATTGTCCCACTTATAGATGGGGAGAGTGCCATTTTGCGAAATTCCAAGAGTATCCCCTGCGATCAGTTAGATATATTTTTGCAATTCACCTTGATTGGCAGGAACCGACCCAGTCCACCTATTTCCAAGTTTTTCTCAAATACCACAACCTTATGGCCTTTGTGATAGCATTCTATGGCTGCTGCGATCCCGCCAAACCCACAGCCAATGATGAGGACCGTGATTCCTGAACTTCCAGGAGTTGCGATACCATCGGCACCCGTTCCAGCTGTGACAGCAATTGCCATGATGTATCGACCTTAATCAGAGTTCAATTGATGAGAATGTGCACGGCAGCGTGTAATGCCTTCGACGAATGTATACTGAAATATGCCCGGGGATGGAAACTGCCGTGAAAACGCGCCTTGCACGTCTAATCATCCCTAGCTAAGCACTTCGGCTTGACATTGATTTCATCAGCCGATGTCTGCAACAATGCGCATCTCCGATTTGCCCTTTTCTTTCACGTGGGGCATGATTTCGAACGTTCCCCGATACCTGTAACTCCTCCGTATTACCTCTGTAGCTCCTATCTTGTGCAGGTAAGGGCCCCGTAGTGGCCCCAGCCCGTGAATCGATTGTTGACTAGCCTACCCTTCATGGGCACGAGTGCTCATGCCGAAAGGATTATCGGCGCATCTAGTGTAACCCTGAATGTTACCCCACCGTCGGACAGCAAAAACACGTCCAAGACAGAAAGACCGGAAGGATTTTAGACGATGGTGCTTTGGGGCGATGTCAATTTAGCGGCGGGGCAGACAATTACATGACCGAAGGATTTGCGGCAGACGATTACGTGTGATGGCAGACCCACCTGCTTTACTAGCTTGCCTAAGTTGTATACAAGGGAAAGAGGGATCTGAGAACGTCATGGTGTGTTTAACTTCTTCCTTTTGCCAGGATGGTTTCTGAATCACACTTTGTATCTGCTATCTAGAGCTCTTCGTGCTTTGAACCCGTCACAGCCATGCAGAGCACTTCATTTCTTTTCGGAACACTTACGCCTTCACATAACTCCAACTCGATTCGAGACCTAAAATGCTATTTCGACCAAACTCCAGGTGCGGAATGGATGCTTGCTACTGTTGCTGAGCTTCCGGACTACTGGGATCTTTTAGTAAAGAAGTTGCCATTTATCAATGGCTCGTTATCAGGCCGGCAGGTACTGGACGACTTCCACCGCTGGCTTCGACATGGATTCAATGCGGACGAAAATTCACCTCAATTGGGTAATATTCTTCTGCTACCTACAGTGGTGATAATTGGTTTGATTGAGTATTGGCATTTTGTTGAAGCAAAGAATCCAGGATGTGATGATCCACTCCAAGAGTTTATTTCTCAGCTGCACGAAGGCGACATGCCTGATTCCGAGGCCATTGGCCTCTGTGCCGGGCAGTTGACTGCATATGCAGTTGCCAGCAGCCGCACGCGTTCCGAATTTGAACGTTATGGCTCCGTTGCGATTCGCTTAGCAATGATGATCGGAGCAGCTACGGATGCGCTGGACGCACGCCACGGGAAGGCGAAATCTTACGTGGCAGCGTGGCGTAATCCCGAGCAATGTGAACAGATGAAACGGGCCATCGGCCTAGTATACCCGCAAGCATACATTTCTGTTTGGCTTGATGAGAGACGAGTGACCATCACCACAACTGCCCAATGGATTCGGTCTAGTCTTCTACGTCAATTTCAGGGAGCGGGTCTGACAGTCGCCGAGTCGACCATCCAAGGGCCCATTCACTCGCCTAGCGGTGAGAACAAAGACATCGCCAAGGCAATTTGTGAAATGTGCCAAGCTACGCCAACTTTACACCTAGGGGATACCTCAAACCTCGCTCTTCGCACTTACACGAACGACGGTCATGGGATTCCAGTTGACAAGGGTAGTCTGCACGAGCAGGCAGTGCAAAGCACACTTGTTACAGAGTGTAACTGGCATGGAACCTTCGCATCACTACCTCTTTCCCATAAAAATTCGACTCAAGGTGTCGTCGCCTTCGGCCCTGACCGCTGTGTCCCTCAATCCTTCACAACCTCCGTGGGTGCAAGATTCCTTCATGTCTCACGCTTAGGTCATTACAATGTTCTTTCCAATAGTATCAATAGATCCACATCTTCTGCTGTTACTACACCTACTGCTGCTACCCCTGCCGCAGTCACCCCTGCGCCAACTACCCCTTCGTCTCCTAGTCTTCTTCCACCTACTCCGCACACCTCAGCGCAACAAACAGAGCAGGTCCAAAATACGCCTGCGATGCAACTCCCAGCAGCAGCAAAGTTGGAGACGGCCGAAAAGGAGATTGAAGGGAAGCAGTACCGACAGGATGAGTCTTCACTATCGACCGAAAGTACGATTGCTATAGTAGGCATGTCTATTAAAACAGCCGGGGCGGATGACATAGACGAGTTCTCGCGCATGATGCAAACTGGCACCTCCCAACACGAGCTAGTTGGACCCGATCGAGTCAAATTTCATACGTTGTGGCGTGAGGGTGACTGGGATCCATCTTACAAATGGTATGCCAACTGGATGCGGGATATTGACAGCTTTGACCATCAGTTCTTCAAAAAAAGTTCCCGAGAGGCCGCCAACATGGATCCGGCGCAAAGACTCTCTTTGCAGGCTGCTTATCAAGCTGTTGAAAGTTCTGGCTACTATTGTGGTGATGAAAGTCCCGCCACAGAAAGGTATCGGGATGAGGCTGATGCGAATCATATTGGCGTATATTTGGGAATAACACTGGATGATTATCAGAATCACGTTAGGTCCCATCGCGCTAACGCCTTTTCCATCACGGGAAATATGCGCAGCCTCATTGCTGGCAAGATAGCTCATCATTTTGGCTGGACGGGCCCAGCAATGACTCTTGACACTGCGTGCTCCTCGTCTGCTGTTGCCATTCATACAGCATGTCGAGCCATTCTGGCTAGTGACTGCAATGCTGCTCTTGCTGGCGGGGTCAACGTCATTACTGACCCCCTCGCCTTCCAAGATCTAGCAGCTGCCGGCTTTCTTAGTCCCTCAGGCCAGTGCAAACCCTTCGACGACCGTGCAGATGGGTACTGCCGGGGAGAAGCAGTGGGTTTCGTCTTTTTGAAGCGACTCTCTGATGCATTGGCAGATGGCAATCAGATACTTGGATGCATTACCAAGTCAGCTGTTTATCAGAACGAGAACCACACGCCCATTTTCGTTCCTAACTCACCTTCTCTATACAACCTGTTCAATGATGTCATGAGGAAATCCCAGGTAGATCCAGGAGACATATCAGTCGTGGAATGTCATGGGACGGGGACGCCAGTGGGAGATCCTGCTGAGTGGGAAAGTGTTCGCCAGGCTCTGGAAGGGCCCCAAAGGCCTGAGCCAGTGTACGTCGGGTCTGCGAAAGGCCATATAGGTCACACAGAGGGCGCTTCTGGTTTAGTGGCGCTCATCAAAGTGTTGACTACGATGCAAAGCGGATATATACCACCACAGGCAAGTCATGTGAGACTGAACCATCTCATACGCCCGACCGACACAATGCAGATTGCGACGACTCGACAGCCTTGGAGAGCTGCACGCAAGGCAGCTTTGATCAATAACTACGGCGCCAGTGGTTGCAATGTGGCAATGGTTGTCACTGAATACCCATCCGCCCAGCCATCACGAGTCAAGAGTAATTTAGAAGAGTTGTCGAATGTTCCATTCTGCATTTCCGGGCGGACGATAACCACAGTCAAAGCGAATTGCGCACGGCTTCTCAAATACCTTGACATCCATGCTGAGCTTAGCCTGGTTGACCTTTCATTCAATGTCAGCCGTCAATCTAGTCGTCTGCTGCCTTACAGATTCTCATTCAAATGTGGCTCCCTTAATGATTTGAAAACGTCTCTGTCGCATATCTTGTCGCTATCTCCTGGGCCCGAGGCGGATGCAATGATTACTGCCTACCAGCCCGAGCGGCAAGTTATTCTGTGTTTTGGTGGCCAGATATCAAGAGCCATTGGACTAGATCGCACCCTATACGATCGTACCAAGATTCTACAATATCATCTGAATGAGTGCGACCGGGCAGTCCAGTCGCTAGGGGCGCAAAGTATCTTCCCGGATATTTTCTCCCATGAAGCAGTAAAAGATCAGCAACACTTGCAAACAATGCTTTTCGCAATGCAATATTCCTGCGCAATGTCCTGGCTGCAGTCTGGGTTATCCAAGCGAGTGGCTGCTGTTGTTGGTCATAGCTTCGGGGAAATTACTGCCATGTGCATATCTGGCGTCCTTTCTCTGCAGGACACTGTGAAGCTGGTGGTTGGAAGAGCACAGTTGGTCCGAGACTCGTGGGGATCTGATCCCGGTGCCATGATTGCGGTTGAAGCGGACGAAGCTGCCGTGCAGACACTGTTGTCTGAGGCCAACCAGGTGTACGCTGGGTCTCATTCGGCAAGTATTGCTTGCTACAACGGTCCTCGAAGTTTCACATTGGCAGGCTCTCAAGAGGTGATTGGTATAGTGACTGACATTCTTTCCCGAACCTCTCCTGCAATTCGCAACAAGACATTGCGAGTCACTAACGCCTTCCACTCAAGTCTTGTGGACTTGATTGCCTCTGGGCTGAAAGCCGTTGGAGAAAATATTACTTTCCAGAAGCCGAGGATTCCTCTTGAGCGAACAACGGAGACTAGATCATCCGCCGAACTTCTAGGCCCCGAGTATGTGGCCGACCAGATGAGACAGCCAGTATTCTTTCATCATGCTGTGCAACGCATCGCAGAGGGCCACCCCAACTGTGTTTGGTTAGAGGCAGGTTCTAGCTCTACAATCACTGTCATGGCTCAGCGAGCGTTGGACTCCTCGCAACGAATGTCCTGTCACTTCCAAGCTGTGAATATTGATGATTCTGATGCTTTCAATAATCTCGCCGCGGCAACGGTCTCATTATGGAATGAGGGGCTGTCCATGTCGTTCTGGCCACATAACGCCATTCAGACGGCTGAATATGCTACCATTGCGTTGCCTCCATACCAGTTTGAAAGAGAAAGGCATTGGGTCGAACTTCGATCGCCAGTTGAACTCATTGAGCAAATTAAAGAATCTATCCGGGCAGAGAGCGCTACCAAAGCTTCGGATCCTACAGTTGATCCGAAGCGAAAATGGCTGTTTACTGGATACAAGGACCCGCACGTCCATGGCAAGAGGCAGCCTTGTTTCGACATCATCACGACATCACAAGAATACCGGTCATTAATCTCCAGTCATATTGTCGCGCAAACAGCTGGAATCTGCTCTGGCATGTTGCAGGCGGATTTAGCTATCGGTGCGTTATACAGTCTGCATCCAGACTGGGTTACCAAAGGAATTTCCGCCACGCTACACGACGCGACCAACCACGCACCAATCTGTTTGGATTCTTCACGTGTTTTATCTATTGAATTCGAAGATCAAGCGAACGGATTCTGGGGCTGGCGAATCGTTGGTTCATCCAAGGGTGCGCCGCGCGTCGTCCACACGACTGGACGCCTTCAAACGCGGGACCCTAAGGACGTTACATACCAGGCGGAATTCCGACGGCTCGGTCGTATGGTGGATCATGAGAGGTGCTTGGCCGTTCTGAACGCGAGACCGAGTGACGATGACGTGGAAATATTACAGGGGCGTGGTATATACCGGGCGTTCAACGACATCGTTGACTTTGGAGAGCAGTACCGCAGTCTTCGCTGGCTGGTCGGTCGAGGCAACGAAAGCGCCGGTCGGTTTTCTAGAACGCCGCAGAATGATGCTTGGTTTGACCAACTTCGAGGCGAGCATATTAGCCAGGTTGGCGGGATCTGGGTCAATTGCATGAGTGATCACAGCCGAGATGATATTTTCCTGGGAGCGGAAATCGAGACCTATATGGTTTCTCCCGACTGGGCCAACCGGCCACTACCCAACCGATGTGATGTTCTGGCGCGCCATCTGAAGCACAAGGATACGGGTGACTATACAAGTGATAGCTTTGTGTTTGACCCTGCTAGTGGAGATTTGGTTCAGGTCTTGCTGGGAGTCCGATTCACCCGAACACCCCGGGCTTCGTTCGTCCGGGCCTTGCAACGCATGACACCAGATCTGCAAACTGGGAATACCGAATTGATTTCACCCAAAATTCTGCAACCTGTTTCTATGCATGCCCCGACTATTGTGGCCGTGAACGAAGCTCCACAGACAGTATCCACGAAGGCGAAGATTCATGAGACACCGGCGAGAGATCTGCTCGCCGAGATGACCGAGCTCGTCGCCAATATAGTCGGCGTAGAGGTGGCCGAAATTGGCTTAGATGTTAACCTTGTTGACTTTGGTGTCGATTCCCTGCTTGGACTGGAATTGCAAAGTGAGATCAAGACTGTCTTTTCCTGCGCGCCAGACGTAGTCGCAATACTTGAAGCCACTACCATACGTGATTTGGTAGCATGCCTTCCTATCTCTGGGGATTTGCCACAGCAGGAGGCTATTAACGACAATCAATCAACGGAACGTTTCTCTGCAGACCTCTCTTCCCTTTCACAGGCCTCAGATCCGTATCTAATTACCCCATCTGAGTCCAGTACCTCAAGCTCATTCGTCCCCGTGGACTTGTTATGGAGGGCGTCGGACATTTTAGAGTCTTTCTCTGCCGTAAAAGGCCGTGGTGACCGGATGATTTTTGAACACGGCCTGGGAAATTTTGAAAGTGATGTTGTTCCAGATACTAATCAGATGTGCACTGCACTTGTCGTGGAATGTTTTGAGGAGCTCGGGTGTCCACTACGGAGCGCAAAACCTGGTGATGTTTTGAGCCGCATACCATTCAAGCCTCAGCACACGATCTTCGTGAACTACATTTACCAGTTCCTTGAGAAAACCGCGCGCCTTATCAGACTTGATGAAACCGGGCAGCTCACACGTACTGAAACACCCACTCCCACAGTGAGCAGTAAGGACATGCTGCCTGGGTTGCTTGAGAAATACCCTGATCATGCTGATTTTACACAATTGACGTACCATGCTGGAATTCAGCTAGCCAATGCATTATCAGGGCTCACAGATGGTAATCGAGTGCTGATGAGTAATCCCGAAGGGCGCAAGCTCTGTGAATCTGTGTATCACAACTACCCGCTTAACAGAATTGGATTTGAAACAATTCGCGACGTGATCGTCCAAGCGATTAAGCACATTCACATTGAGAAAGCCCCTCTGAAGGTTCTTGAATTGGGAGCAGGAACTGGAAGCCTAACTAGCATATTGTTACCACTTCTTGCTTCGTTGGATATCCCCGTTGAGTATACTTTCACGGATCTATCCTCTTCGCTAGTGGCACAGGCACGTCGCACACTTGGAAAGAAATACTCATTCATGAAGTTTGCCGTCCAAGATATAGAAAAGCCACCCAGCAAGGAGATAGCTGCGCAACAGCACATTATTGTCGCAAGCAATGCAGTCCACGCCACGCGAAGCCTGGAGGACTCGACAAGAAACATTCGACAGGCATTGCGACCAGATGGTTTCCTCATGATGCTTGAGATGCGAGAAGCATGGCCTGCACTTGATCTTACTTTTGGACTGTATGAAGGCTGGTGGCTGTTTGAAGATGGACGTACCCATGTCTATACCTCACCCGAGGTCTGGAAGCGCAGCTTGACAGCTGCTGGATATGAAGCTGTTGACTGGACCGAAGGGAGGCTCCCGGAGCACAAATATTATATGGTCATTATCGCTCTCGCATCCGGGGTATAAGAATGGTAGATGTCATGGAAGTAGGTGCCTAGATTGTATCCCCTTACGTTCAATGAATAGCCTTCGAGATAAATGAAATTGACAGTTGTATGAACGGCATTTCTCCATTCCCTAACCGTAACTTCATGCTCTCCATCTATATTCTCCAAGAAGAAATACTTATGACAGCTTTAAGATTACATACGGATGTATGCTTTTGTACAGGTGGGGCGAAGGGGAGAGGCTTGTCAATTCCTTATTAACTGCGTGTCACCCACCTCGCTTTCAGATGGTCCGCTGATTCCTACTCTGCCGAAAGGACACTTCAACTTTTCTCCAGGATGTCAGACTCGCTATTACCAACGCACTCCAACACGCTTGACCCGGCATCTCTCTCATGCCCCAGAATTCTCTGCCTTCATGGCGGGGGCTCGAATGCTCGGATTTTTCGAATTGGGTGCCGCGTGCTCGAGGCTCAGTTGTCAAATCGTGCCAGACTAGTGTATGCAGATGGCCCTTTCTTTGCATCCCCGGGTCCGCTCATAGCAGGTTTCTTCACTGAATGGGGCCCCTTCCGGTCCTGGCTTCCACCGGATCTCGGAGTCGGTCCAGGAAAAGGCCAAGGCGTAAAGCGTATCTACGAAGACCCTACGGATGCCGACATGGTTATTGAAAAGATCCACCAAAGCTTTCAGAAAACAATGGACGATGATGATCGAGCTGGAGGAACTGGTCCTTGGGTTGGACTGCTGGGATTCAGTCAAGGCGCCAAGATCGTAGCAAGTCTACTTTTGAGACAGCAGATCAATCTCGGGGGGTCTATACCCCTTCCTTGCTTTCAATTCGGTACTCTTGTTGCAGGGTCAGCACCACTTGTTTGGCTAGGTTCTACAGAGACCTATCAAAGAACAAGGGAATTGTCTGTTGAATGTCTCCTTCGAATTCCTACCGTGCATGTCTATGGTAGGCACGACTGCCTCATTCAATCCTCAGCTGAATGGCTTTATCAATGTTGTTTACCTGACTCTAGAAGAGTATTCGTTTGGGAGGGTGATCACGTCATGCCTACTAGGACTAGAGATGTCTCGGCGATTGTCGAAATGATTGTTGAGCTGCTAGAGGGTTTGGCAAACCGACTCTTCTAATGGCCCCTATCCTAGATCTCACATGTCTAGATACACATGGCTCAATTTGTTTCACACATATGCTATATTCTTTTGCCTCAATTGATTTGTTCTCAAGCTCTATGCGTAACAGCTCCCGTAACATTGATCTGGGCTTCAGCCTGATTCAAGGGTATTGCGTACTGCAAAAGGAGTAAGCAAATAGGTTGAGGCAATTGTTCAAGAGCCACGTATTCAGTCGCTTGCCACGGATATTGCCAAAAAGCACTCTACGATGGGACAATACATTTAGTAGCTTACACATGCGTATACGTATTGTCCGTTAAAGTGAGGCTTAGATGCCTCGGTTTCATCGACCTCTCTTCTTTGACAAATACAGGAGAGATTAATTGGAGGAACGGGCTATTGCACATATGTGGTATCAATTGTCCGCAACTTCCCCCTCCATCATCATCTAGGAAATCCTTCTGCCCCATCACTGGAGCAAATATGCTTCTCGCCTAGATAGGTAGGTGTCGTGGTAGCTAAGCACTATCGGCGGGGTGCATTAGAGGCATTCTATCGGAGCCTCGTTCTTCTGTTCCGGAAATTAGCAAGGTCCCACACCTCCTTCCCATCACTGATCCTGAAGGATGCACTACAGTGGACCCTGGTTTCAGCCCCAGCGTCGAAGCGTCGCATCCCGCTCGATTACTGAATACAATACAATGTATATCGTTTTTCAGTATTGTCTTTTACGACCACTCTGTATCGCCGGCTGTTTTCAAAAATATAAGCATAGGTCTTCTTAAAAATGTGACTATGCCTTCATCGTCATAGGGTCATTACAGCTGAGTGTGCTCCGTGATTGAATACAATGCCTTCTATTATTACAGATGCTGATTGTCTCGCCGAACGGCCATGCACAATGCCCATTGCAATCTGCGGAATGGGCATGCGACTCCCCGGGGGCATTCGAGACTCTGGAGCATTATATGACTTTTTGTTGAGCAAGCGAGATGCCCGAGGAAACGTTCCATCAAATCGATTCAATGTTGATGGGTTCTACGATGCCGAGGGCAAGCCAGGAACCCTCTCGTCTACACAGGGCTATTGGTTAGACGATGTCGACCTGTCCAACTTTGACTCTTCTTTATTTTCCATGGGTCGAAAAGAGATTGAAAACCTAGACCCACATCAAAGGTTGTTGCTGGAAGTTGTCCGTGAAGCTTTCGAGAGTGCTGCTGAGACCGGCTGGCGAGGCAAAAACATCGGATGCTACGCCGCCAGTTTTGGTGAGGAATGGAGCAATCTCCATGCGAAGGATTCACAGAATAGAGGATTTAACGTGATTACGGGTTATATGGATCTTATGCAAGCGAACCGCATCTCATACGAGTTCGATCTAAGAGGGCCGAGGTGTGTGCCCACCGGATGCATTAGACATGGTGCTGACTCGCAGCAGTATGACACTTCGTGTTGGATGTTCGGGAAGCGGGCTGGGTATTCACCTTGCATGTCAGTCGATTCAGCTTGGCGAGTGCTCCTCGGCTATTGTGGCTGGTGCCAACATTATTCTCTCACCCGAGACTACGATGTTGATGGCAGATGGCGGGGCAATCTCGCCCGACGCTTCATCGAAAACCTTTGATGCTAGTGCAAACGGTTATGTTCGCGCTGATGGCATCAACTGTCTTTATATCAAGCGTCTGGATGAGGCGATTCGCGACGGTAACCCAATCCGAGCTGTAATTCGAGGAACTAGCACCAATGCAGGTGGAAAGTCAACTGCTCTCACTGCGCCAAACATCCAAGCTGAGGAAACACTTATCAAGGCAGCTTATCGCAATGCAGGCGTCGATCCCGCGCGAACAGCCATGGTGGAGTGCCACGGAACAGGCACAGCGATGGGCGACGCCATTGAGGCAGATGCAGTAGCACGCGTCTTTGGGGACAAAGGAATATATATTGGAGCTGTATGTAGCTATAAAACACTCGGTCTTATTATCCACATGTGCTCATTTGGAAAATTCAAAGGTAAAACCAAATCTAGGGCACTCAGAAGGCGCATCGGCCATCAGCAGCGTTATGAAAGCAATCGTGGAGCTGGAACATCGCACTATTCTGCCAAATATCAAATTCAATACCCCAAGCCCTAGGAGTAGGTACATCATGTACCACTATATGAGACAATGAATGCTAAGATATGCAGTTCGCTGGGATGAAGCCCGGCTAACAGTTCCAACCGAGCCGATGCAGTGGCCAGAGGATCGAGAGGAGCGCATCAGCATCAATAGTTATGGAATCGGTGGAACCAATGTCCATGTAAGTTACACAGTCTTTCAGCGCTCTCGCAGATCGAGTTAACAACTTAGATTATCCTGGATTCCGCTACCTCATTTGGTCTGTCCGAATCCGATACCAAATTGGCCCCTGAACGGGAACCAGATTTCAAGCTGTTGATGCTATCAGCGGGGCATTCGGATTCATTGAAGGAAATGCAAAAGAACTATGAGGAATACGCCACAAAGCATCCGGACAGGCTGACTGATCTGGCATATACACTAGCGGAGCGGCGGGAGCACCTTCCTGTCCGTGGCTTTTGCGTTAGCAAAGGGAATCACGATGAGGTTGTCATCTCACCTTCCTTTACGAGTCAACCTCAGAAAAATGTTGCATTTGTGTTCACTGGCCAGGGTGCACAGTGGGCTGGAATGGGCAAAGAACTGCTTGAAACATGTCCTGAACTCCTTCATGATATCAGGCAGATGGACAAGCTGTTGCAAAAGCAGAAGAACCCTCCGGTATGGAGCATAGAGGAGCAACTATCGATGCCACCAGAAAGAAGCCTGCTTTCCAAGGCAGAGGTTGCGCAGCCCGTTTGTACTGCCCTTCAAATTGCACTTTGCAACCATCTCGCCCGGTGGGAAGTCTTTCCTTCTGCTGTGGTTGGTCATTCTAGTGGAGAAATTGCTGCCGCGTATGCCGCAGGGTCTCTGAACATGCATGATGCAGTACTTCTGGCATATTATCGAGGTGTCGCATCCAAGGAACAGACGCGTGAAGGAGCCATGGCGGCTGTGGGACTTGGATATGATGAAGTTGTTCAGTGGCTTCATCCTGGTGTTGTCATTGCGTGCGAAAATAGTCCCTCAAGCGTTACCTTGTCAGGAGATGCGGATGCCATTGAATCAGTCCTTTCGGCAATTCGAAGCGACCGTCCAGATGCCTTCCAACGGCTCTTGAAAGTCAATAAGGCCTATCACTCACGTCAGTATCCCGGTTCGTCTACCTTAAAGGCATGGCTAAACTTTGATAGATCATATGCAGGACGTGGGACACCTGTACGACAGCCTCATCACCAATCAACCAGTAATCAAACGGCCAAAGGTTCCATTTCACTCTACCGTCTTTTCCCGGCAATTGTACGAAGCAGAGGAATTTGGATCCAGCTATTGGCGTTTGAACATGGAAAGCCCTGTTTGGTTTTACCAAGGGTTCAACTCTCTTCTTCAATCAGAAATCGGAAAGGACGCCCTATATTTAGAGATTGGACCACATTCGGCACTTGCAGGCCCAATCAAACAGATATACCGGGCTCATAATGCGCCTAATTCTTATCTTTCCGTACTCTCCCGAGGTTCCAACGCAGTTGTCACGTTTTTGTCTTGCGTTGGAGAGCTCTGGTCTCGAGGGGTGAACATAACATATCCCTTCACAGCAACCACGCCTAAAGCCCTACATGACCTGCCGTTATATCCATGGCACTACGCAGAGTCTTGGTGGTCAGAGTCGCGACTCATGAAGTCCTCACGCTTCCAAAAGTTCCCACATCATGAGTTACTCGGTGTTCGGACAATTGAAAGCAGCGATCTCGAACCTGCTTGGCGAAACGTCCTCCGCCTTGGTGATGTATCTTGGCTACGTGATCACTGTGTTGGGCCAGATATTGTTTTTCCAGCTGCGGCATACGTTGCGATGGTTGGCCATGCCATTTGGCAAATAACGGATCAAAAGGACTTTACAGTGCGAGATGTTTCCTTGAAAACAGCGATGGTGCTTGATGAGAACGTACCGACCGAAATCATCACTAGGCTTCTGCCTCATCGGCTTACCGATTCTCTGAACTCGACATTCTTTGAATTTTCTGTTCAGTCATATACTGGCTCGGTGTGGGCACAACATTGCGTGGGACTGGTCGCAGGGGGCCAGCACTCCCCAGGACAAACGCCCACAGTGACCTCGTTTTCGAGAATAGTAGAGTCAAAGCGGTGGTATCGAGCGATGAGCAGGGCTGGCTTACGGTACGGCCCTCATTTCACTGGTTTGGAGCAAATCACTGCCAGCGTTACTGAAAGCACTGCATCTGCCATCATCCCGGATAGCAAACATCCCGGATCTCCATATACCTTGCACCCAACGACGATAGACTTGATTCTGCAGTCCGCTTTTGTAGCCATGTATCAAGGTCAGCCAAGCTTCTTTGAAAAGTTCCGCCTACCTACATTCATCGAGGAGATGTATATAAGAGTGGGTATGGGTGGTCAAGATATTCATCTGAATACCGCTGCTCAGGAGAAGGCAATCCAATCTCATGGTGTCGTCACGGATGATCTTGTTTTTTTCATGAATGGCCTGGAGTTTTCGGCGCCAGAAAAGGATGAAACCGAACAGGACCAGCAATCCGAAACAGCCCAGCTGGTCTGGAAGCCGGATATCCACTTCGTGGATCCTACAACTCTTGTCAAACCAGCCCAGCAGGCGGAGTTGCTTTCAGCAAATCCTCTGATTGAGCGAATCTTTTTGCTTTGCATCATAGACCTGATGGAAGACATCAAGGCCATTCCTACAACTCAACCGCACCTCGGATTATACCGGACTTGGATGTCTGAACAGCTTGCACAGGCGCAAAAGGAAGGTTCTCCTCTGGTGCCCGATGCAAAGGAACTATTTAACCTTAGTGCTAGCGACAGAAAAGAACTGATTCAGAGTCTAGTCGCCAGTCACACTGAAGGAACAATGCTCGCAGGATCTCGCATCTTGTTCCTTTGCTACAGACATATGTTGGACATTTTCAAGGGCAACACTAACCCGCTTGAGTTGATGCGACGAGATGGCCTTTTAGGGCGTTATTATGACTGTTTACAAGATAAGCATGACTACAAAGACTTCTTGCAACTCTTGAGTCATCTACGGCCTCGAATGAATGTACTGGAAATTGGCGCTGGTACTGGAGGACTGACTGCAAAGGTACTCGACTTCTTACGATCTGAGTCTGGCGAGGATATTTATCGGGAATACATGTATACCGATATCTCGTCAGGGTTCTTCGTCAATGCGCAAGAGAGGTTTCACGACCGACATAGAATTCGCTACGACGTGTTGGACATTTCCAAAGATCCCATCGAGCAGGGCTTCCCTGAGGCGCATTATGATTTGGTCATTGCCTCTAATATTCTCCACGCAACTCCCAAGTTGACTGAAACTCTCAAGCATACTAAGAGGTTGCTCAAGCCAGATGGTCGTCTCTTGTTACAAGAATTATGCCCAGCTTCCAAATGGACAAACTTCATCTTCGGATTGTTCCCTGGCTGGTGGCTTGGTAAAGATGATGGGCGTCCCAGCGAGCCCTACATCAGCCCTACGGAATGGAATTGCAGACTACGTGCCGCCGGATTCACTGGCGTCGATGTCTCAGCTCTCGATGCGGAATATCCATACCAGCTTAACACTATGCTAATTGCAACACCCGCTCCGCTACCCTATCTAAAAAAGGTCACCGTGCTTTACATTGGCACTTCTGCTCATCCGTTGATCCATGATGTACACCAACAACTTAGCTCGGACGGATACAAAGTTGACCTGGTGGGCTGGGGCGACAATCTACCTGCAGATCAGGACATTGTCTTTTTGCTCGATCTCGAGGCCCCATTTTTCGACAATATCACAAAGGAAAATCTCGATGCTTTCCTGCAAGTCTTCAGGCATCATTCCTCATCTAAATTCTTGTGGATAACTCATGCAGCACAGATTCTTCCACAGGATCCACGGTTTTCTCAAGTGCTTGGTATGGCGCGAACTCTGAGGTCCGAACTTGGGGTTTCCTTTTCTACTCTGGAAATGGAAAGTTTCGGCCCAGGTTCCACGAAGGCAATCTCCATTCTTCTGCAACACATACAGCAGAGGGCAGTCAAGAATACCGGGGAGTCCGAATTTGACCCAGACCAAGAATATGCTTGGGCCAATGATGAAATCCAGGTTAGCCGCATGCATTGGATCTCGATTCCCAAGGCTTTAGCTCAGAGCAGCGAAGGAAGTCAGAAGGCTACCCTAGAGATAGGCCGACCAGGCTTACTCAATACGTTGCGTTGGGTATCTCAGCCAATGAACCTGCTAGGGGCCAATGAGGTGAGAATCAAGACTATGTCACTCAGCATGAACTTCAAAGAACTTCTTCTTGCCATGGGAGTTGTTCCCATCGATGAGGGTCAGGTATTGCTAGGCACGGACAGTGCAGGTATAGTCACAGAGGTTGGACCCAATGTCAAGAATGTATCTGCTGGGGATCGAGTGATGGCTCTCACTGTTGAGAGCACCAGCTATACGACCGTACTGCAGATATCTAGTCATCTCTGTATTCGCATCCCGGATGACTGCAGCTTTGAGGAGGCAAGTACGCTGCCAACTGTGTACTTGACCGTGCTCAGAACCTTGAAAGAAAAAGCGAACCTTCGACGGGGCCAGAGCACCCTTATACATAGTGCTGCAGGAGGAGTTGGCATCGCAGCCATCCACTATGCAAAGTCAGTTGGCGCAAAGATCTATGCGACAGTAAGCTCACCGAAAAAGACCGACTTCTTAGTAGACAAAATGGGCGTGGCGAGACAAAACATATTTTACTCGCGTGATAACAGCTTTCTTCATGGGGTCATGAAAGCAACCTGTGGTCGTGGAGTCGATGTAGTGCTTAACTCACTGTCCGGTGAGCAATTGCATGCGTCCTGGCAATGTGTTACGGAGGGAGGAACCATGGTTGAAATCGGTAAAAGGGATCTTCTCGGTCGCGGAAAGTTATCAATGAGCCCGTTCTTGGCCAACCGATCGTATATCGGAGTTGACATTGCAACGCTTGCCGTGCAGGATCCCGTGTGGGTTCAAGAACAATTGGCCGCCATTGTCAATCTTTACAGGCAGGGGATTATACACCCCATCCACCCAGTCAAGGCATTTCCCATCAATAAGGTTGAAGACGCCTTCCGGTACCTGCAAACAGGACAACACATCGGTAAACTTGTTTTGCAGTTTTCCGACTCTCCCAACCTTTCTATGGCTCCTAGGGTTCCACTCTTAGACCTTCGAGGAGACAGGACCTACCTTTTGGTAGGTGGAATGCGTGGCATCGGTGCATCCATCGCAAGGTGGATGGTCTACCACGGAGCCCGGAATCTAGTTTTCCTCTCTCGCTCAGCGGGGGAAAGGCACGAGGACAAAGCACTCGTGCGCGAATTGTCTGATATGGGATGCCAGGTGCTGACATTTGCGGGCGATATCGCTAACATGGCAACTGTTCAACGTGTTGTTTCAAGCGTCAGAGCTCCGATTGCTGGAGTCATTCAGTTGGCCATGGTACTTGCAGACACTGGAGTCATGAAAATGGATTTAGAAACGTGGAATGCGGCTATAAAGCCCAAGGTTGACGGAACTTGGAATCTGCACAAGGCTCTACCAATGGATATGAATTTCTTCGTCATGGCTTCTTCTCTATCCGGAACATTTGGAAACTACGGTCAATCTAACTACGCGGCTGCCAACACCTTCCTTGACGCCTTTGCCCAGTTCCGCCAGTCCCAAGGGCTTGCCGCATCGGTACTAGACTTGGGTGTAGTGGATGAGATAGGCTTCGTCAGTCGAAATGCATCCATTCACCGAGCGATGGTGCAGCAGATGAGTGCCCCCATTTCAGAAAGCAGTCTATTGAACAGTTTCCATTTAGCCATTATCCGCTCTCATCCACTGAATGGTGATGCTTCAATATTCAATCCACTAGAGGGATTTCGTTCCCCCCACCAATTGCTCCACGGTCTACTATCAAAATCTGGCATTGCAAAGAGTCAATTCATGTGGCAACGTGATCCACGTACCGCTCTAAATCGGATTCATACGCAGAAAGATGCATCCACCTCTGACGGTGATGACCGCCACAATAGTGGCCTTAAATCGTTTCTAGCGGACATCCATGACAACCCGGGCATTTTGCAAGACCAGTCCAGTGCTGAAAGAGCCGCGACAGAGATTGCTCGCCAAGTTTCCATATATACGACGCGGCGTGGCGATGAGGCAACAAATTTGAAGTTGTCGTTGCACGATTTTGGTGTCGACTCTCTTGTGTCAATCGAGCTTCGTAATTGGTGGAAACAGTCATTTGGCGTCGACGTGACGGTGTTACAGCTGATGAATGGTGGCAGCTTTAGAGATCTTGGTAAGAAGGCAGTGGATCAGCTCAAGAAACGGCACTTGAAAGCATAATAGAAGCTGCGGTTTCGAGAGGATCCGGATAAGGGCTGCTCTGTGGACTGTCTCCAGGAGCCTTAGGTGTGTTTTGTCTCTGAGTAGGTTGCACCAGACTGTGGATATATAGTCTACTGTGGGTGTTATATATACTTGGTAGAGTTACCGCATCTGTTCTGGTCGAAGGTGCCAGAGCCCACTAAGTACTATATTTATCTTGGTCACTTTCTTAACTGCCCGCTGTATATACTATTTCCACCTTATCTCTTTATCAAAGATGACCCCTAGGAGCTTAGCTATATTGGCTAATTTGATAATCTGGCTATTGAAGAGAATCTGCTCTTTACTATATTTACTTTTGTAGCAGGTCAAATGGATCAACTCGGTCTTCTCAGCAGCGAAGGATGTACCGGTTTGTTGTGACTATTTCTTAATCTGTGGGATATCTTTTTTCTGGATTTTCTTGATATTTTCCTCCGCGGATATACTGGTTCTCCCGGCTCCTGAAGAGACTAGAATATAGGCTGGCCTGGAGCCAGATAGCATTGTAGCTTATTGACTTAGAAAAAGTCGATTAACTCCTCTATATATTCTATAAAAGAGTAGTGGACTGGACAGTAGCTTTACTTATTAGACTTATTGTTTGACACAGCTCTGTTTTATAGTCTATATATAGAAAACTCTGTCTTCCTATTCTGGGCAGTCTGGGGGGCCTGAGAAACCTGTAACAGCTTATTCTATACTGTTTTTGGTTCTGGATTTATTAAGGGAAACTTAGCTTATTGAAACTCCTAAACCTTCTCTTCTAGAATCTTAATTTAGGCTTTATATTACTGCTTATAGATCTGTTACTATACTGTCTGGGTCTCAATTATCTAGTTGATATAGACCTATATTGTTTCAAGTTCTATCTGTCTTTCGAGTTTCTGACTTTCCAGCGATTCTGCTAGGGCTTGATAGTACTTATATAGAGATTTTCCGGGATTTAGACTGTGTCCTAGTATTTGGTCATGTTCTCTCTGTTTTCGGCTACTTTGAGTGCTCTATATAGTTCTGCTACTTTTAGAGCTGGCCCTACTTAGGGCTCTGCTAGATTTGCTGCTGCTTATCTGCTCCAGGTCTATAGGTATATCTAAGACCCTAGGGCCCCCGCGATATATCGGTGTTGGTGATGGTGGTAATAGTGGTGGTGGTACACTGTTTAGGGGTGCCTACCTTGACACACTCGGTAGACCACTACTATAGGGGTTTGGGACCTCTATAGCGGTTCCTAGGGCCTCAGGGGGCCTTTCTCGATCGATTGACGCGTTAAAATGACTTGTTTAGATTGAGTGTTGATTTTGATGTTCCGTAAGAAATAATTATCCTCGATACGAAACAAGAAGTCTACTTTAAACAGGGATTATTATATTGAGATTGCAAGTAGCGGTATGCTATGAGAGGTAGAGAGTTGCCGACCTTCTGTAGGTCTGGGGGGTAGCTACGGTCTTTATATACACGTTGGGTCAGGCAGCCCCTCTTAGTGGATCTGCAGGGTTCTCCTACACCCGGTAGCTCTCCTACGTAGCAGTACATCGTAGCCACGATCACATTATCTAATCATTCAATCTATACTATTATCTTATTTTTTTTATCCTCTCAAGCCAGCCCTAAGACTATTCCGCTTTATGATTAGGGCAGCTGACAATATCTTATCAAAAATAGAATACCAGATCTTTATATCTTTTACAAGAACTTAAAAAAAGCAAAGCTACTGTCTGAAATGTAAACTGGAAAAACATTTTGCTTTAGGAAAGGTAGATATATAGCCTATAATAGTTAGAGTATATATTAATTTATTACTAAAGCACCCACTGTCTGACAATTAACTTGAGACAGAGATTGATTATCTTATCAGAGATATTAATATAAAGATACTTAATCAGACAATATTTAGATATAATAATACAATTACAATTAACAATAGTATAGAAATACTATATGATATCTTTGACCGACTTTACTCGAGCAGATAGCTGGATAGTTGAACTATCAATATGTTACAGACCCCTGCCTAGCGTACCTTATCGAGGGCGGACACGCGAGGCAGAATATCATAGGATGGCAAGAGCCGAAAACAGCTATGGAATCGCCAAAGGATGACTATAGTGAGTATCTGACGACACGGTTGGTGGAAGGCCGATACCAGCTCCATCACGTGATACCTACTCCAGCAACTACCCCAGAGGGAGTATACCGGGAGTATACGACACCACACGCTACGATTGGATATACTCCATTTACTACCCCGAAGGGAGTCACGATGGGAGTATAAAACCAAGGATATATAAGGACACTCAATTATGTACTTAGCTTAGTTCTTCGTGATCAATTCAACTCAGTTACTTGATAGCTACATTCTACGGATACACTTTTCGTATTGCTACCAGCTCAACTCGTTCGTACTATCTAACAATTGGGTATACGTACTCAATTGGCCTGGCCTTTCTACCTTGGACTATCGTCATACACGCATCGCCTATATCGTCACATACTCATCGTGTCCCTTCAGTCATCATCGTCGTCGGTTACTAAGTGGATTCTAGTCACCGAGGTAAGTCGTGTCTAACCAAGATAGCTAACTGATCGCAGAGTCCTTGGACGAATACCCGGGCGTAACACAATACTCTTATATAAATCTCCGATAAATCCGCGTTTATTAAGTATGGTCTAAGTATCCTGTTAGACCAGAAGAGTGGAAATAATGATTTTCGGCCGATGAAACACCCGTTAGGAGCCTGGGCCACGAAGATGGCTAAGTTTCGGGAAGAGGCCAGGAAACCCTCTGGAGAATTGGTCCCTTTGGTTTTTCTATATAGCTACAATCCAGTAAACTAAAATCAGTCGGAATTTTATGTATCGATAGAAAGCGGATAGCAATTACGTAAATTAATACCTATTTAACAGGAGTAATCTGAGGAGTCAACTCTAAGATATAGACTATAGCTGTCTTTACTTTTTTAATACAGAGATTGAGATCTCTTATATCGAAGAATTTCTGTATCTTATTGTAGTTTAGCCCTGTTGTATAGGCGATAACCCAGAACACTATGGTATGCTTTAGATTATATTTTGCTGCTTGCTCAAAGTAATTCCCTGCTTTATCGGTGTTTAATAAATATACCCATGCTAATTATCGATCGAATCACAACTGGGCCTCTTTTGATATGGTAGTAACTGGCCGGCTATGGTTACCGAGATCGAAATAGATCACCTCGCCGGGGCTACCAGGGTTTTGAGCATCGTTTTCAATAGCTCCTCTTGGAAATGCAACGAACCAACGACTTACTCTACAGCGACTTAGGAAGCAAAGGCCTGTTCGTATTTTTTCGAGTCCCAATGTGCCAGTATGAACGAGGATACGACGTGAGGTTTGCTTACCTATATGTAGGCCTGAAGGAAAGTTTCAACCACAGGTGCAACAAGTGGAGTACCGGAATCCCATTAGTAATTAGGGATTCAGTCACTCATCGCCGGTGTTTATTAACAGTTATTTAACCAGTCTTGGAACAGCTTAGAATATATCCCAGACCCACCAGGTGGCAATCGATCCCAGTAGCATACAGTACATATCCATAGTCCTACTATAGCGATACAATATTCCAGCAGGACTTGAGGAAAGTATCAATCAGTTGTCCAGTGGTAGAGATATCCTCCCACACAGGATGGTGGCCAACTCCGTCCAAGATCACAACCTCCGCATTTGCCATCCTCCTCGCCATCTGCATAGTTTGAGATGGTGCTCCGACCATGTCCTTGTCCCCGGTAATCAACAAAGCCTTGCAGGTAAGATCTTCTAAACACATGTCTCGGGAACCCCATGCTACGACTGCCTGATTGGCACGACTAAATCCACAGTCAGACGTTACGGAGAGAGCGTTTGTAAGTTTTGAGATCGCTTCGTTCCGAGATTGTGAGCATTTTGCGCTCTCCTTGGGGGCAATGTCAAGATCAACTATCGCCTTAATTGTTCCCGCGATACCCTTATTTTTGATTATTTCTATTCGTTGCTGGCAGCCGTATAGCCCCGGAGGTGACATCGGGAGCGCTGGAGAGTTCAGCAGAATGAGTGCTTTGGTTGCCTTAGCCACATTTGGCGCTGTCAATGCAGCCTGCATTGACACAAAGCAGCCCAGTGAGTGGCTTATTAGAACGACATTGGACGTGAGGTTTGCATGGTGGAACAAAGCTGCCAAATCTGCCGCATATGACTCCACAGTTGATGGCGTTGCGTCAAACACCGGTGATAGACCGTGACCGTCATAGTCGAATCGATGCAGGCAATACCTGTTGCACAGCCCAAGATGGCTGATCAAATCGTCGAAGTAACGGTCACTGAGACCCATGCCATGGGTGAATACTATGGCTGGGGCACCTAGCGGACCTTCCCGATAGTAGTTGATAGTTTTATTGCCGAGTTTTATCAACCCAGTAGCCAGTAGGGCGGTTGTTCTTTCATTAGGCAGGTATTCGGTTGCCATACTATCGTTCTTTCGGTATTATTTTTCCTTGGAAAAAAAAATAAAAAACGAAGTGGAAGGGGGGAAAAAAAAAGAAAAGGCGGTTGGCCAAACCAACATTATGCCGGGAGTAGGGGAGGTCATATGTAGTTTCTGCATTTCGCAATGGCTTAAAAGCTAGGTTTAATTCTACGGCCGAGAAACCAGGAGGATCCTATATCATGTATTCCGCTGCCGATCTCGGGGTCTGCATCGCCATTCATGCCGCTGCCATCCGTCGAGTCGGGCTTTGCTATCCATCACGTGGCTCTAATTCCTCTAAGTCTTGGCGGATGATGATTCACTTTTCAGCTCTGCCCGACCCTCTACAATTTAACTTTTTATATGTGTGTGAGAAGTTGTGGAAACGCTACATGCAGTCTTATGATGCCTTACGGGTTCGGGGGTAAGGGCTGAGGCTTATTCATGTTGACCTTGCGGCACTGAGTAGTAGACTCGGTTACCTGACGAAGGATATATAACGGAAGCCCGGGTGTAGTCGCGTAAGAAGTAGCTAGCGATTGAATCGTTTTGAAATATGCTAAGGGCTGACCCACTGGATTATGCCACCTCGTCTTCTACTGAATATTTATAGTAGTGGACTAGTTAAATCTGTCGCTTGAGTCATCGTGGATACATGTCCGGTCCTATTGCGGAAGCAGAGAAGTATCCATTGCTTCACACTGGTGTCACCGAGGGCTGAGCATTAGAATGAAACACCCCATAAATGCCTCCACAGCCTTTCGTGTTATCGCTTTACGCCGGCCAGTCATCACACAGAAGGCCGTGCTTACGCTGTAGAGAGCTAATCCTGGTAGGGAAAGATACTTTTTCTCCATGGATCTTGTCATCTGCAGCGCATCTCATTCGTGCATTTGTTGCCACTCTCGATTCAGATATGGCTCACCACGCAAGCTAACACGGATGTTCCAAGGATCCTGATACTTTAGAATGAGCCCATATCGCGTCAATCGTGAATCCCAAGCTATCGAACATGAAACATGGGAACGCGGTTCGGATTACGTGCCAACCCCTGGTGTCATATGAGTAGCGGAAATGTGACAAGTCATTAGAATGTGATTATCCCTATCCTCTGAAGTAGTTGTTCTCTCCTTCGGTTCTACCTCACTATCTAAAAACATGCTCAGCATGTGACCCAGACATGTGACACCTGGCTACTGTGCCAGCCCTAACGCCGAAAGATCTGCCCTGAGCCCATCCCCATCCAGTGTACTTTGTAGGAGACTTCTCTGATATTCTGGCAAAGTGACGAGGCGTAATGGATATTGCAATTGAGATGCTACTCTATTGTACAGCGAGATGTACCGTATGTTGACTTTGGTCCGCATCAAGTCGCATGTATTGACTACGTGACGTATCTACCGGGCTTTTCTTATATTTTAAATACGTTTCCCCGGTCTTTTGAGTAGTAATTGATTTCATTCTATGTCTAGCTCTTTTCGTTGCGACATTTTGCGTCAAAATCAAAACATAAAAAATCAATCTGTTTCCGCCCAGAGATTCGTCGAAAGATATTTTAGACCAGAATCACAGACCATCATTGCGATTGTCTTTCCTCTCATCTCGCCTTTCAGCAACTTGATCGCTGCGCTAATGTTCGCACTACTAGAGAATCCTCCAAAGATACCCTCCTTACTTGCTAGCAAGCGTGCTCCTTCCCTAGCCTGATCACCAGTTATTTGGAGGTAACCGTCGACGGGAACGTCTTTGAGATAGAATAGATCAGGCATCACATAACCACCTCCCTGAATAGCATGTTCTGGTTGCGAAATTTGTTTGTTGGCTAAGACAGCAGCCCCATCCGGTTTGACAATGAAGTATTTCACCGCCGGATTCACTGATTCGAGCTTCTTAGTTACACCAGTGTAGGTGCCTCCAGAACCGACAAAATCAATAAGTCTGTCAAGGTAGCTGTCTGTTTGTTTCCATAGTTCTACTCCAGTTCTATTGTAATATGCTATCCAATTTCTATCTCGAGTAAATTGGTCAGTACAGAAGGCTCTGTACTCGATTTCAAGTCCTTTTACTTTTTATTCGACGAGCGCGAGGTCGGCCCCAGAGACTTAGCCAGGTATTGATCCGAGTATTTAATCAACAAGGATAACTTCAGCACCCAGAGCCGACATCATATAAGCCTGTTCGATTGAGTTCCCCCGGAATATAACGGCAATGAACAGATAGCCTTTAACAGCACATACAATCGAAAGTCCAGTGCCCATGTTGCCACTGATAAGCTCGACCACCGCCTGCCCAGGCTTAAGTGTACCCAACCTCTCTGCTTCCTCGATGATACCAAGTGCGACACGATCCTTTTTGGACCACCCAGGATTGAGGTAATCAAGTTTGGTAGCAATAGTCCTATCGAGTCCCAATGAAGAGGTTATACGATCCAGACAAACAAGAGGTGTGCCACCGATGGCTTCCCCCGCAGAGCCGAGAAGTGGTAGCATTTTCGAGAATGAAGAGATGCCCAATTCTGCCGTAATAAATAAAGATAAGAAAAATCCTGAAATGAGAGTCCAGAACCGTGGTGAGAACGCGAGAAAATATCGAGTGAGGCTATAATTGCTTGGAAATATATGCTTGAGCGGTAAAGACTTTATTCCGCAGCGAAAATTTTCATTCCCGAGATGGAAGCCTCATTCCCGCGAGGCGACAGTATTCCCGACCATTAGTTGGAGTCGAGATGACGTGCCGTTAAATACAACAGCAGCATGTTAGACACTCGCCACGAAGAGCTGTTCCTGCCTAGGTGGAACATCAATCTTAAGCACATTAGGAGGTAATTTGTGAAGTATCGTGGATGAGCAATAACTCTTGTGTCCTGGTTTCCTTGGTTTTTTTTTTTTTTTTTTTTTACAATTTCGAAAGCGCTTTACTCTTGATTCGGTGTTTCATGGCAGTTAGATTGGAAGACCAGTCTATAATTAAGACCATATTCCCCTACGGAATTAGAATATTGCTCTGATGAAAAGAAACACTCCTTTATCCTCTATGAATGATGGCGGTGGTGACCCACAAGTTCTCTAACTTTATACCTACATGTCTGAAGTAGCCTCCGGTGCTCTCTTCTTTCGACCGAACACATCATACATTATTCAAGAAACGCATCAAATCCTCGCTCCGGGTCTTTCTCGTAGTAGTTCCAGTTACGCTTAATAAAAAAAAACTCTTCAATAGGGTTCAGGTCCGGCGAATACGGTGGCAAATAGACTAACTTCACCCCAGCTTCCGCGCACATTTGTTCAAGTCCTTCCGACCGGTAAAATGATGCATTGTCCATGGCTAGGACATATTCAGGTTCTGGCCACCGTCCGCAATGCTGGAGCAGCTAAGCTATAAAGCCTTCAGATACGATGGCATCCGTAGAACCATAGAAGACGCGCGACAGAACGATCCCATCCTGTGGATACGCGGGTAATATCTGATTATACAGATAATAGTTCCATAAATCGGCATTTTGTTCTCTAGCACGTCTCCGTGCAGTCTTTTTCAACCAACCTTTTGCGACAAGAGCTCTTCTAATACTCGAGGTTGTAACCGTAGCCTGAAGCTCATCCCAAAGAAACACAACCATCTCCTCGAGGTAGAGGCCGGGTTTCTAGGATAGGTGATCACAGAAGGCTTCAATGATTAGAAGCGTCACCGTTCGCTTTCGTCAACTCGGGTTTGTGATGCGTATAAGTTTCCAAATTGTCGCAAGTTGTTGCGGATACCGATCGTCTGTTTGCTGCATTCAGCCTGTTCAACCATTTCAGATACAGCGAAAATTTTACTCTCTATCATATTACGGATGAAAACAAGCTTTGAAGACGAGAGTCTTGGAGCCATGTCGTTTGGACTGATAACGGTAAGCAGGAAGCCGTTGTGCAAGACGTTGCTGATTGTCACGAAAGGATGAGGGAAGAAGAGGAGGCACCGTGTATATGCAAATTTCGTGTAAAATACACCACACATAGTACTGAAGACGTACTGTAAAATACACTTGACTATTCTAGAAAGCGGTCTATAACAAAATGTTTAAAATAATGTCCAATCAGAGCTCGCATATTTAGAGTTTATTTTCCCGGAATCAAGTCAAAACAGTTCAAGATCGAACTGATTTCGAAAACTACTGTAGCAGTGGTTACAAACCAGTGAATTTACACGACTACCTCCCCGCTGATACACCGAGGCCTGAGTTACTGGAACGTCACTCAGCAAGAGTAGCTCATACCTACAGGTAATTTTATCTTGGATACTGCCTTCAGTAGTTATAATCTATATAACTCGGTAACTTTGTATCCTGTAGCTTAGTTAGCTGAGATGTTCAGTGGCCCTTTATAACAAATATACAATTTTCAATCAGATCGGCAAACTATGGTTTGTCTATTGTTATACTGTAATATTGTCAAGAGTAACTGGGAATATATTGAGACTCCGCAAAATAGGCGGTTCTGGTTAGAGTTTCAATCTTAAAGAGAGTATAGAATATTGACTTCTGAGACAGTCCAGTAAATAATTTTAAAAATATATTTAGATACTATGATTAACAGTGTGTTCAATAGATATATAAAAATTACTGATAGTAATGTTGTGATTACTATTAGCTGATTCCCGGGATGTTTATTGACTTCTCTGAATTTGCCTGTGAGGACCTCAAAAAGCGTGCAGGCCTAGTAATGACAAGGAATTCGCAAGTCTATCATGTTCAAGGGAAAACAACTTCTTATATTCTAGCAGATAGCGACCTGTATAGCAGAAGGTTATGTCTTCTATATTAGTATTATCCTTTCGAGGGATATAATGGTATAAACACACAAGTGGCTACTTGAAATATTAAAAAACTGGCATTGTCTCTTACAACTTGATAAACTAGACAGTCAGTTCACAATATGCTAGAATTTGTAATCGTTCAAGTGATGGGCCCATTGTATCTCGTCTGGGAGCCATCCCTGGAAGTAAAGTGTTACAGATCAAGAAGCTTCTCTATGATCTGTGTTTGATAACCGGGACGTCAATTGCCTTCGTTGATGTCAGAGATGGCGTCACTGATCAGTTGACGACGCTGGTTGCTATCGCCAGCTCACATTGCCGAAAGGTGCCGAAGACATGAGGCCTGAGTCAAGAGGGCAGTGAGGGGCCCCTGTGCTGAGTATTACCAAGGTAGCATGTGAACCAGAACGGGCAAGACGTCTCTATTCAATTCTTCCAGAGACGCGCCAGGGTTTGTCGGCATCCCACTCAAGCTTATTGAGCAAGGAGATACTAAGAGAGGGCGGCTTACATGAGCATTTGTAATGTTATTAAGCTGAACAAAATGGGTCCCCCTCTGCCAGCCAACCGTAACAAGCTAGACGGCCAGGTACAAACTTATAAAGAGAAGTGCCCTTGTCTCGTTGTCATCAATGATGATTTTGGTCAAACTGTACCTCCTTGATTATTACCTACATTAATCTGTTCGACTTACAATCTATCACCACAAAAAATGTCAGCTGGAAGTCGATTTCCGGCTTGTACTTGTGAGGAAATGCCCACGACAGAAGAAAGGAAGACTTATAACTTTATAAAAAAGTGCCTACTTGTTAGTATCAAGGACAAAGACAAAGAGATACCAGCTCCTGTATCCTGTATTGAATTGCACGAAATGTTAATACTCACATTTTAAAAAAACACACTAGGTCATTCTGTCTAGAGAGAGAAAGCTCATTGACCATTTCGCAACATATATATATACTTACCTGTCTTTGGGAAAGTAGTCTCTCAAGTGGTCAAATTACTTACAACACTACTGTTTGAGCCTAATGTAAGAGAGACAGTAATCTTCGCGACAGCGGGCTTTTTCAAAGCAAAATACCCAGCTTATATCTATATACCTGTAGTAACAGCTTTCACAACCTTAGCTGTAGTACAGATAGAGACTCTGGCTAGAGGCAAGAAACCGAATAATCTGGACATAAAATAAGAAGCTGTATATAAGATTGTATAGGCTCTTTATATCGCCTGTAGACCCTTGTCACAGGTGGTCTTTGACCGATATATTAAAGCTCTAGAAAAGAAGTAGATACTCTCTATAATCTACTTTACCAGTTTCTATACGTTAATTTTGTCTTCGGTCAATAGAGCCGATGTTGGTCTACCATATAGTAAGAGCAAAGTCGTCTTGGAAAGGTATTCTTATCTCGAGGGATATAGCTATATTTGTTGTCTAAGTTAAGAATAATTAAATAGACTAAATAACTATTCTCAATACTATTTTTTATATTGTTAAATATACTTGTGTAAAAGCCGCCCCAGAACATATCACAGACGTAGAAACTACCGCTGTCAGCAGATAGTCAGCCGATAGTTTCCTCCTTTCTAGAATACCCTTATTTGTTATTGTATCGCCACCCCGACGATATTGACGATATTGCATGACGACAATAGCGTCAATTCTTTGACATGTCGATACGATTGACCATACCGAATCGTCAAAAAGCTGACGTAGGCGATATCGTGGGCAGCAATACGAATCTTCAAACTTTTGAAGTAGCCTTCAGAGCTATATCTTGCTTTCACTACCTTCGTATACACACCACTTATGGCTTGCTACTTCTTGTCGTGCATAACCTCCATTGATTATCTATTTAAGAAAGCCTACCATGACCACGTTTTCCTATGGCCATGAGAACTGTATACCTTCATTAAGGAAATCTTGGGGTTTCCACACGTTGTCAGTAAAATTCAGGCTTGTATCAGACTTGAGTCCAGTCACATAGGGTGGTGAGGTCGTGGAAAGGTCTTTTGATAAGTAAATGACTCTTTTTGTACCTGCGGAAAAATTTCTTTCCAGAAACTGGAAGATCTATTTGCGTATGGGGAAGCTCAAATTTAAGCGGTAACAAGCGACTCATCTGGAAGAACCATTGCAGAATGGCAGTCGAATTTTTTGGAGACTGCGAAGAGTTAAAGAATCGCATCAGGCCTGAACTTCGTCCAATGCCTCGTGTCTCTCTTCAGCTTGACCGGTCAAAATTGTCCTCTGAGAATAGTCATACTTTGCAAAGGAGAAACGAACATTGCATTGACATTAAAATATACAAATTTACAAAAATTGAGAAGCGGCTATAATGAGCGAGGTAATCCACCGCTGCTTTAATTCAAGGTGTGTCTAAAACAACAATCATTGAGAAACATTGATTCAATTATCCTGTGAATATGATCTTTTTAATTATGACTCGACTATGAAAAGCCCGGGTAATGTTGGAATCATTGATATTAGCCTAGTGTATGCTTGCCTGATTTTAGATTTTTCGGAAAGCTAGTATAAGCCAAGATTGATACGCTAGAAATGCGTTCCCTTCATCCGTGTAAAGGATCAACATCTTGGCTGAATTTTCAAGGTTTCTTCTTCAAATGCAGAGTCTGTAAATTAGTATATGCCTCCAACCCAGCCATACCCAGCTCTGAACCAAGTCCACTCTCTTTATGCCCACCAAATGGGGCACGAGCATCAAGCTCTAAATGCGTGTTCACCCAGACACTCCCAGCCTGTAGCTTACTTGCAATACGTTCAGCCTGCTTCTCGTTATCTGACCATACGGATGCACCAAGACCCATGCGGGTCTTGTTCGCACGGGCGACTACATCGTTCTCCTCACGCCAGGACATAAGCGGCAATATCGGACCGAAGGGTTCTTCTATCGCAATCCGTGAGTGATCGGCGGGGCGATCGACGATAGTGGGGTTGATGAAGAAGCCTGGCTTGGAGGAGTCGAAGGGCTGATTGGTGCCGTTGGAAAGGGCGATTTGCTCGGAAGTAAGGTCGGACAGAAATTGCTTCACCTTTTCGAATTGCATGGAGTTTTGGATAGGGCCCATGAAAGTGTCTTCTTTGTCTCCTTCGCCAACTTTAAGGGTCTTTGTGAAGGCGATAATGGCATCGCGGAACTTTTCGAAGATGGATTCATGCACGTAAACACGCTTGATGGCGACGCAGATTTGACCTGAGTTAAGGAAGCTTAGAGAGGCGACCTTTTATTGTTAGAGGGCTATCATAATAATATTCAGGAAATTGGTGATTACTTTGGCGGCGGTCGTTTCTATATCAACGTCACTGCAGATTATGGCGGCATCTTTCCCCCCCCTTTTCTTGTCAGTGTCTGTGTTGTAAAATCTCAAGCAGTAACATACAATTCAAGTGTAACTCGTTTCAGAGTCTTGCTAGCACTTTCCATAACCTTTTTTCCCGTTGCCGAAGAGCCCGTGAAGCTGATCTTACCGATGCCAGGATGGGTGGTGAGCCAAGGTCCAAGGTTATCATCACCACTCAACGCCTGAACAACGCCAGGAGGAAAAACGCTCTGCGCCAGCTCAACCAGTTTAAGGCCAGTATAAGGGGTAAAGGGGGATGGCTTGATAATTATGGTGTTTCCAGTGAGCACAGCCGGCGCAATCTTTTGGCAGGCAAGAGAGAGAGGGAAGTTCCAAGGGACGATGCCGACAGCGACACCAATGGGAGTGTGCCGGACAATGATCCTACGCTCTGTACTGTCTTCCACGACCTCAACCTTCATATCAGCAGCTATCTTCGCCATTTGGCGGAGCATCTGCGTGGACGTATTTGTTTCGAGTGTTGCGACGTGCATCTGGGAAAGGTTTGTTAGCATTGTCTTGTCATGTGCCGATTCACATAGTAGATACAATACCGGTTTACCTTGCTCCTGAACAAGGAGCTTCGCAAAGTCCGAAGCATACTTCTCTATTGCATCAGCAAATGCAAGAACAGCCCTCTGGCGCTCGGCGAAGGGGGTGTTGGCCCAAATCTTGAAGGCCTCTTCGGCAGCGGCGACTGCTCTGTTTACATCTTCCTGGGTAGAAACAGGGACGTTTGGATTGGGCTCCGAGGTAGCCGGGTTGATGCCATGGCGGTTCTCAGAGGTAGTGGTCTGTTTACCACCGATTGAATTCCGGAAATCTTCGAAAACGTTGAAAGTCATTATGCTGAGTTGGATAGTTCAGTTTCGAGTACGATGATTTGAGGCTATTTCTGGCGCTATGGTGGAGTGGGCATTGCGCTTATATAGCTAATTTTCACCCCAAGAGTAAGCCTTACAAAGCGCAGTGGATTCGAACGCATCCAGCAGTAGATGTTCACCTGATGGATAGATGAAGAGGCTCGGGACAATGATTTGCCCGCCCGGAGCAACCTGTATCTCCAAACTTGACTTATTACCTCGGTATAAAGCCCAAACTCTAAAGAACATCTTGGTTGGCGTTGATACTAAGGTGCCATTGAAGGGGGTGTAGTCGATGAGTTTGCGGAACACTCACAATGCCGAGAGTGGTATGAGTTTGTAATAATTGATATCCGGTATTGTCACGTCTATTTCACTGTACCAATATTATCTTTTCTTCGGGTATCAAGTGAGAAAGAAGGAAGGCCGTGGGGTAATCGAGAATTGATGACCGAGGACCGATAGATCGCTTCTAAGTCTCGGGTTTCGAAAAGCCCATGATGAACAAAGTTCAGATATCCACCCACTTTCCAACCCAATTCCGAAATAAACGCCCGCGAAATGACGTATGGTAGAAGAGCCACGTTGATTTTGGTTGGTCGCGGCCTAAACCTTTATCATATCTTTTGAAGTGGTTTCTCAACTCCCTAAGAGTGTCGTACGCGGGTGTCAACTGAAATGGTTCATTGATCCAGTCACTTCGCTCTACCCCGCATTAAGGATGAAACTAGAGCTCAAAAACATACCTATGTCTTCCAAAGTATCTAGGAAGTCGTGCTGATTTGTGTAAAATTGAGTTTTTGAGGGCGCAAGATAAACCACATGAGAGCGTTTCTCTGGCCCCTCAAAGGCTTGTGCTAGGACCTTCATAATCCCTTTAATAAGGCGCTATGATTACGGAAGATAGAGAGCCATCAGGTCCTCATAAGTAATGTTAAAGCCATGAGCTGCACTGAGCTAGTGTGAAGCTCTCTTGCAATTTGACTGAGACTCTCCCTCATTGTGCCACCTTTGAAACTAATGTTCTTCTCATTCGTATGTTCGGAAATAACGCAAGGTGGAATAAACCGGCCCTAAGATGATGTTGTGTTTCGAATAAACTCCTTCCAGTCAGTCTGTAGGATCGCGTCGCATACTTGGTTATATTGTGAAAACTCTGGGCCTTGATCCAGGCAGCAACTTTTGCGGCATGTCTCCCCCGGGTCTTCCAGCACAAGTCTTTCGGCAGCGTATTCTCCACAGTGTGTTGAACTGGTGCCTATACGAAGTAGTTTAGATCAGCCTAGATGTCGATCCGCATTTCGCAAACTAGTGCTGATATCATAAAACGTAGCAGTATATTTCTATCACATGTGCCTCGCTTTGGGGACCCTGGTTGCCCTAATCTTGGCGACGGAAGAAACACTGGAAAACGAGCTTTGCATAAGTACTATATAAGGGCATACTGCGCGACCTTCCCCTTTATTCTTCTTTAGAACTAGCCTCAGCAGAGTCTGTGACTTGTTGAGAGTCATCAACGGTTTCAAAATGCTCAAAAAATTGCGCCTCTACGCGGTTCCCGTCATTTTTACGACTATTCTCACATCGGCATTCGCAGAATTGCCAGACAATGATCCCGGCTACAACTGTTTGCCAGGAAACCCCTGCTAGCCCAGTGACAGTGAGTGGAACCAATTCAACGTGACATTGGGCGGGAACTTGCATGCTATGGTTCCTCTCGCTGCTTCATGCTATCCAAGCTCGGAGAACTACAATTCGAATCCTTGCCATGAAACGTCAAGGTCTTACCTGAATTCTACTGCCCGAAAGTGCTGTCTACGGAGCTACTGAGATTTTGAACTGGGAAACGTGCCACAAGAGCGGCTGCACCTTACAATCCGTGCTCCCTCGGCATTCGCCACTTTTCAGCCAGTGCAAGCTGGGTCGACTATCAACATACTGTGTGAATGCACTCCCTGCTCATGTTTCCGAGACTATCAAGTTCGCGAAACAACATAATTTGTGTCTATCAATCAAGAACACAGGCCACGACTACCTGGAGTGTGGCACAGCACCAAATTCTCTAGCTATATGGACTCATTATATGAACAACATATTATACCATTCTAGCTTTAAAGTCAAGGGATGTCCTTCCTCAGATGGTCAGAATATTGGAGAGATAGGAGCCAGCGTTCAAGCTGCCGATACTTACAGGTTTTTTGAAGTGCCTAACATGAACGTCCCCCGGTAGTAACGAAGGCACGGTCGCCTTAGCTGGAGGATTTGGGTAAGGCGGTGGCTATGGTATATTTGGGCTATCCTATGGGCTGATGGTCGACAATGCTGTGGAATTTGACGTGGTCACTGCAGATGGCGAGCAACGTACTATGAATGTATATAATGGCCCGGATCTATTCTGGGCTATGTGTGGAGGTGGAGGCGGAACTTTCGCTGTCTTAACTGCTTACCGGTTCCAACTGCATCCTGCGAAAGCAATCAATCTTTACACTCTCTGTGTCGAGCTTTACCACTCCGGTGAATCACCCCAACGGAACTGCGACCGGCTAAAACCCAGCCTGGCGAGATGTTCTCTGGCATCTTGTGTATTCAGGTTGTTGGACAGATGGTATTCCAGCGACTGAATAAGAGCAGATTGTGAACAACCTGCTTGAATCTGTGGATCTTGTGAAGAATTTAACAATGGGAGACAGGTGTTACGTCAATGAAGGCCATTATTTGGAACCCGATTGGGACATGACCTTTTTTGGCACCAACTACGATCGTTTGTTTGAAATCAAAAATCGCTATGATCCGACTCATATTTTCGATTGCTGGAAATGTATTGGATGGCGTGGTACCTCTGAGTATCTGTCCTTGTCCAGTTGATCTCTGTGGTATCTAACCTTTTTTTTACAGTCCGTTTTACTCTTTGCTATTAATAGAAAGACAAATTCAATTAACACGGAAGTGTTGGAATGAAAAATATATTGCCAAGGATCTCTTCTGAACAAATATTTTGGTATCTTCATTTGGTAGAAATTAGACTTGGAGCTATATAAGAAAGCCAGCAAAATCGGTTACCTTGTCTTGTAGCAAGCCTGATACCTAAACAGTAGTACATATAGGCCTCGCCAAAACCCGGCCGCGAAAACCCAGCCCATGGGCCGGGTTGGGTCTTAGTCAGCAAACCCGTGGGCGGTGTTGAAATATCCCGGTTGCTGAGATAATAATGAGGCTGGGATCACGTGCATACATATATAGTTTACGTGTCTCCCAGTCTACTTGTATCCAAGACAACACACAATCAAGTCCCTCAATAATATGAACATTGAAGCATCACTTTACAATCAACAAAAACCCGCGGTGGGCTGCCCGTGGGCGGGTAAGGAGATTGAAAACCAAACCCAAACCCGCGTTTGGTCTTAGTACATGTCCGGGATCGGTCACGTGCAAAAAGAAGCTTACGATCGAAATAGTCGCCACTGAGGCTCGATTGGGGGAAACGTAATCATAAGAGGCCTGAACAGAGTTTCAATGACGGCGATATGTGAGAATAATATTATGATGGAAGAGGAACGTAGGAAAGTTTATTATTATCACATGGCAGCATGTTCATGTTGTTTTTCAGCAGATAAGTGAAGATGCATTTGGTGTGTTTTATATTTTTACAAGGCAAATGTTTTGATAAGTCATGAATGGGTTGTGGATGACTGAATTAGATAGTTCAATATATATATATATAGATCGATACCGATTCATGGTCTCTGTTTCTTTGGGTATTGGATGGATAGTTAGAGGCTAAAAAAACATCGTTGTAATGACATGACGAATGTAGCGTTACCAAATTCACGGATTTCTAGTAGTGACGTAATTTGACAACAAAAGCTGTCACAAGTGCTGAGCAAACATTCAAATTGCATGATGGTCCCTTAGGACGAAATGCTTCACTGGCCACTTGCTGGATCGTGTATCCAATCTTCGTCAAATTTGATGAGATCATCAAAGACATCATGCAATGTCTGGCAGTCGGTTGGTAGATTCATCAAGCAGCTGAGGCTTTCCTTATTTTCGTCTGCGTTGCACCTCAAAAGGCCACTACTACCGTTGTCGAACAGAAGTGGGCTGCAAAGCAGAAACTCTTCGGTGCTCTGACCGGGGACTGGTGCTTCCTCAAGGTGTCTTGGAGCCGGTATTGATTGACCAAGGGGGCTTGATTGTAGTTTTGGTGTGGGACTGCACCGAACGGTGTCTGGCAAATCGTCATCGTTGAACCGATCGCGAAGGGATGATGAATGCGCGTCTTCTTCAGCGGCTGTGATGCGGACACCAGATTTTTGGATAGCCGCCTTGAGGATCGTGCAGGCAAAGTCAGCCACTGCATAAACATCGCGCAAGGAGTTCAAGATACGGATGCATTGGCATAGACGTTGAGAGCTGGCTATTCGTACGCCCCGATTATCAGATCTTATCTTCAACAGATGAACCATCGCTGCTGGCATGAGGACAGTCACGCCAATAGGAGGGTAATTTGAAGTCAAGCCCAGGCTGTCCATCTCTAGGGCAATATCCGTTACTTCCATGGCGGCATGGAAGACTTTGCAAGCAGAAATTTCTTGAAACTTGGAATGGGAAGAGGTCGGTGGAGTGATAGATGTGAGTTGTGGGCGGTGTAAAGCACTGCTGGCAGTATGGTAGATCATCTTCAAGATTGCACGGTGCAAATGAAGCACTTGTTGAACGTCAGATAATTTCGAGTGGCCCAGTGGTGTAAAATGAGCCTCCGTGGGAAGATAGCTCAGCCAGTTCTCCAAGAGTAAATTGAGATGAAACAATTTCCCTTCACCTGCAGTTGAGCTTTTCGGACTCAACATCATGGTTTCAGTAGGCATCCCAGACTCGTATCTAACTGTGAAGTACTGAGTCGAAAGAATATAGCCTAACAAGATGCAGAGCTTTGTCTTTTCAATGAACATTAGAGCAAGTTCACGCCGAGCGCCACAATTTTCTAGGATATTCGATCCACCGAACAGCTTGATTATGTTAGGTGAACAGCATTGAAGCTCGAAATCATCTAGGGAAAGCACAGGCACATTCGAATCTTCGTCAATCGCGTAGATTGGCCGTCGTGTGCCTAGAGCAATGAGGCGATCTCGAACATAGATGCTCCACCAGATGCGCTTCCACATCCGCTGACGTTTCAAGTCCATGCCTAGCGTGATAGGGTCACGATTGAGACCGATTGTGTGGGCCAGAGACAAGACGACGCCCATCCAATGCCAGGAATCCTTCTGGTGACCGGGAGCATCATAGTAGTAAGACATCAGAAGAAGTGACTGCACTATAGTTATCTGATCGGTCTCGTAATCAAAATTGTATAACAGCTGAGCTCGATCAAAGAATTTTTTCCGGGCCACTCTATTCGTCTCGAAACCAGCAGCTTGTAGAATTTTCAGATCGGCAAATGCTGACCCTGCAAACATGACAGATTGGAACAGAAGCAAACTGATTCGGCGATTGCGGTCACCTTCCAAAATGGTCTGAAGAAAATCCTCTATATCAAGAATGGGTATATAGGGATGAACATAATGAACATAGGCCCTGAGAAGCTCGTTTCGCAGAGTCAATTCTGGAATGAGTAAGACGCCTTTGGAGATGAGGTAATCAATGTCAACCTTACTCAACGTCGTTGGTAATTCGCGGATATAGTTTGGCAGTGTACTGCAACCCATATATGGTTCTTGCGAGATTGGAAACACTGATCTTTGCGGGGTATTCTTCCCCGAAGGCCCCGAGTCGGCAATGGCCTGATTTTTTAGTGTACAACAAGTGTATTCGGAAGCATACTGATCTGGTAATGTTTGCATTTCTGTGGTGTCGAAAGGCCTTCCTGCACCACCTGATGATGACTAAATCAGATCAGAATTAAAAGACAACGCAGGGACTATCTCACTATAAAAAGTATTATGGGAGGTGCTCAGAAAAGCCGAGCCAAAAGCCATCCGTGGCAAGTCGTGCGTATCAGTGGGAAGGTGAGATCTCTTCAAGGTACTACTGACCAGTGAGCCGACCTGTGAGATGTTTTCAACTTTGAGATAGCTCTTTCTACAATGAAGTTGTTAGTTTTCTGCTTTTAGTTCGTGCATGAGGAAACTATTGGTGGGCAATACCCGACACACACCTTCGTCTCGTTTGTGGCACAAGACAGTCAACTTTATCTAAACTGCAATTGGTACATGGTGAACCTCTTAGTGCCACATCACATCGTACTTTGCGGCTATGGCAACGACAGCAAGCCACGGAGGCACGATTCTTCAAGGGTGGACCGATGGAGCAACCTCTGCCGGAGCTATTCCGTTGCCGGAGTGATTGTATCATTGTATGCGGTAATAAAGCTCAAAGCAATCCACCTCTGAAATGTCTTAGATGCTGGCATATAGGTAGATGGGAAGAAATGCACAGCCATAAAAAGACTAAAGTCAACCGTGCGGGGCCCCGCAATGGCGCACAACAAAGCTCCTTCTAGGGATGAGAAACTTCGCACTGTGATTAAACCTTTTCTGGAAACAATCGAACTTTCTGTTACGGGGCACCAATCGGGTGCGTAAATTGAAAGTCAAATGGCGTATCGGCTTCGGCCCTCGGCCTTCGACATTGTGCCTAATGTTAACAGACATTTTCTTGGCATGTATCAGAAGCGGTGCCAGCAAAGTCAACAGTAATGCAACATAAATACAGATGACAGTATTGCTAGTGAGGCAGGAAGGAATGGAATGGGTGAACAAAATCTCAGACATATCTTCCTCAGACATATCTTCCTGTCCCTCAAAATATGAAACCATGTATCTGTTCGTCGTTTATGGTTATGAATTAGGCTTTGGTCCTCTATCGAGGGTTCTTCTACCCCCGCCGTTCTCCACAAGTGAAGCCAATTACCAGTACCTGAATTTCAGCCGTACCATTCTCGCGTGTATCTTGATTACATACAACTGTGGAAGCATCTAATCTCAGAGAAAAATTGGTAATTCCTGGCCAGCGTGGCTGCTGCAAGTGATGTCAGTTGATGAACGCTACCGATCGTCAAGTTCGGAGAGCAACAGTAGTGACATTTAAGCAAATCAAAAGAATAGAACGATAACTAGAAGAACTAGTAACATTGGGAACAATGGGAAACATCGAACCGTGCCGAGGGCATCCGAGAGCCCCATCTTGAAATGGCCAGTTGAAGAGACGAGTTCTGTGCTTGTTGCCACTTGATTTTCTTTACAGTAGTAATCGTTGAACAGCCTTAAAAGCAGGAAGACTATTAGAATGAGGCAAGGTGATCAAACGCTCTTGACGAAATTTCAAGAGATTCAGATGCTATTTTGTTTTACATGGTATATCCTGTACATCACTCTATCGAAGTCTGTTTTTGGTTAAGAGAGCAGCTCAAGCCAAGTTCGTGCGGAGACTTGATCGACATACCCAGTGGTCAGTAGATCTTTAAGTCAACCAATCTCTATTGAAGTTTCTCTACCAAGCACTCAGACCCGAAAGCCGGAGACCGAAAGCCGAAGAACGAACTTCTTGCCAGGAATGTGGTTGTGAAACATAACACGAGTCTTGGTTTGAGATGACGTCTTTGAATCAATTGTGGAAATGATCAATTCCCTGCTCCAGCAAAGTCGAAACTATTGCAAGTCCATTTGAGAAGCTGCGCCGCAGAATACTCCACAGCTCCGTTTGAGTAAAAGGAAATTGCTGCGTTTGGAGACATACTGACCTGCCAGGATAATTCGAAAAGCATAACGGAGATGATACTTACAAAGAATGTTCCCTAGATCTGGGGCTGCTTCTGACTCCGCACACAACATGATATATGGCTTTTGAATATTTCCTTTCTCCATTTTCTCCACGCCAGCGATCCTCTCTCTCCGCATAGCGATTGGAGGAAATTGAATTTATAAGCGTGCATTTCCTACTTAGTTTCCCAACCGATTCTTGCAGCTAGATTCCAGTTACTGGTCAATGGCCAGCGAGTGCACTTCCAACACTTTAATAGCCACCGATTTCCCTCTCCAGCAGTCAAAATCACAGGCAGCGGAGATCCTTTCAGAGCGCAACGAAAATGACTCAGCCGACCTCGCAATCAACCATGGCGGTCTCTGTTCCAGGACAAGCGAAGAAACAGCTGAATGGCATCACTTTACTATGCATGGCGTTCGTTATATGCAATAGCTGGGCCGGTATTGCTGGGAGTCTTCAACTGGCCTTGCGGGCTGGAGGACCAGCCACCCTCGTCTACTCGATTCTTGTCGCCACATCGGCCTACTTATCCATAGCAGCATCGTTGGCAGAGCTGGCCGCCGTGTATCCCACAGCAGGTGGCCAGTATCACTTCGCCTCTATTCTCGCTCCGAAGCGATGGAGACGAGGGCTGTCTTATACGTGCGGCTTATTATCGCTTTTCTCGTGGCTCGCTATTGGAGTTTCCGTGGCTAGCATCGCGGCTCAGCAGCTCCTGGCGATAGTATCGACAAGCATTTCCGGGTTCGAGCCTAAGACTTGGCATGTATTCCTTGTCTACCAAGGATTTGCTCTCTTTGCGATGCTATATACCGCCTTTATCTTGAAACGAAACCCTTGGACACACAACATTGCATGTTAGTATAGGAACAAACCCTTAAAGAAAGTTCGTTGATCTAACTGCTCGTTAAGTCATTCTAACAATTGCTCTATTTTTCTCGTGTTTCATTATCTTACTTGTGCGAGGCAACCCAAGAGAGCCCCATGAGTTTGTCTGGAATACATTCTTGAACTATACTGGATGGCCAGACGGCGTTTGTTTCCTCATTGGTCTCTCATCGTCATGCTACATGTTCAATGGCCTCGACGCTGCGATGCATATGGCCGAAGAAAGCAGCAACGCAGAGAGGATTGTGCCGCGGACTATGATGGGCGCAATCGGAATTGGTTTTATTACTGGCTTCGCCTACGCGATCGCCCAAGTGTATGCCATCTCCGACATGGAAGAGATCATGACCACTGATAAGTGAGTGCTACCAGTTAAGTTTGCGCTGAAATTTTGAGCTTGCATATACTAACTTCTCTGAGATGGATCCCATTTGTCGTCATGGAGCAAGGGTTCCGATCACGTACAATCGCCATTGCTATATCTTCAGTCACCATCATCCTATCGTTGACTATTATCATTGCTACCCAGGAGGCCTCCTCTCGCCTAGCTTGGTCGTTGGCTCGTGATGATGGACTACTGTTCTCTCGGCGTCTTCAGCAACTTCATCCACGGCTGGATATTCCCTTGTGGAGCCTACTCTTGGTCTGGATTCTAACGTTCCTCTGCGGCTTCATATACCTCGCCTCGCAAACCGGTGAGGAGTTCATCAACCTAGATGGCACTGCGCCTGTGCTAACATTTCCCTATGTGGCAGCGTTCAATGCTATTGTAGGATCGTCCGTGATTCTACAGCAATTATCGTTTGGTATTCCGATTCTTCTGGTCATTGCTCGGAAGAGATCAACCGCCTTCTTGGCTCCTACACGCAGCTTTCGAATGCCTAGTAGCTTGGGCTGGGCCGTCAATACCTACGCAGTCGCGTTCATCACGCTTATGGCTGTTGTCCTCTGTCTTCCGGTCACTATCCCCACAGCCCCATCTATGATGAGTAAGTGCCACCCGTCTTGAGATGGGCGTGTGTTCTTTTATCGGAGACCAAACTAATCACATTCCCCACGCTCCAGACTATACTTGTGTGATTCTGGGGACCTGCTTCTTGATTGGTCTCGCCAACTGGTGGCTACATGCTAAAGCACGGTACAACGGCCCAGTAATGGACTATCTGGAGGCTTCTGAGCCTGAGCCATCTGATATCTTCCCCGTTCAGTCTCACAAACATTGCAAGTCAGGAGAACTTGGCGTATGAGGATACAAAATGTACTCTTATTATAGGCATGGCACTTTCTATTGACCTTGCAATTCTTTTGAACCACTATTGATACAGAAGTTGCACGACTCAATGTGCCAGCATCAATACCCGTCAGTCATGCTCAGCCGCTCTAGCATCATCTTCTGTAATATTACAATACTATCGCAGCCTCCACATCATTGTATAAAGCTCCAGGCTAGGAAAAGGTAACAGCAAGTCATCATCTATATAAGAAGGTGTTTTTAGGTAAACGGACAATAGATAGCCTTGCTGTCGGCCCTTCGCGTTAATTTACTACTTCTTCCCGTCTCCGCATCCTCTAGAGGACAGGTTCAATAGGCGTTTATGTACATGTATCCCTCTTAGAATATTTCGATCTCTCGAGATCACTATGAGCAAGCCCGATATTCTCCTGCCCAAAGGTTAGTCCCGCTTCGGGTTGAAGACATCTGTATATACTTCAATCAAGGTGTACCAACTTAGCAAATGAAGAACAACCAAAATATTCAAAAGCAAAGGGTCAAGGGTGATTAGAGCAGATTGAAAAAGCTTCCGAGATTTACCTGGACCGTTGAGCATTTAGTATTGGTGAGAATCATTTTTTAAGCATTCCCTGAGACTACCGAGAAATCTGTGAAGATTGAGAATGCTTCATGCAGCGATGGGACTGAAATAACTAGGATGCTGGCAATATTGAAAAAAGAGGGTAAGTTGCACATATCAATAATGCAGCTTTGAATTAGTGTTGCCTAGAGCCTTATCTTCACACCACAGAATACGTCCATTCATAGAGTTCGGGTGTGGGCCTGTGACAATATTGCTAAGAGTATCAAATGTCCCGATTCTCCTTTTCGCCTGAATACCACCTAATCATGTCAAGCGATTGCTCAACCATATCCCTTGACTGACACTGGGTTTCCTGAGTCGTCTTTGAATCTGACCGTTGCGATTTCTCCGTCATATAGAGCTCCTAATTGATTCAAGTGCGTTTCGTGATTCTCAACGGTTTTTGTTAGTCTTTTTGGTCCCTACTGAAGACTGATTTGACACTTAGTTTAACAAGAAACACAACGTATTCCAACTTCAGCATCATCCGCATGATCCTAGTCATATTTTTGGTCTTCCCAACTTTCTTAGTTCCCCTGACTGTTGTCTTATTCTTCTGTATTGTCTATCCATGGCTCGTCAAACTTTTCGACCTCGGTGATCGGTAAAGTTCTCAGGTCGCGATGGCTCGTGGAGTTGCAGGTGAGAACCAAAAGTCAAATCCGCATATGTGCGCGGCATACATTCTGTGCAAATCTATTTGGTATTTATTAATCTCCAACCGGGATGGGCGGGTCTTGACTAAATTTTATACGTTTGGTATAGGGTGTGTTCGCCAATGTGACTTTAAAAGTTGAAGATGGAGGTTGTGTTTTCGAGTCCCCGTACATTCTGGCTCCTTGTACATAGGCCATGGTCTCCTCTGCGGTTTAGAACCAGCCAGATAAGAGATTAGCTGACCCTTTCACCAACTTTTCAATAGGAAAGATCCACCCAAAGGGAGGGGTTCTAAGCTATTTAAGGAGGTCTGAAGACAGTGGCAGAAGAGGCAAGAATCAGTGTCTTCGTATTTGTTCTACTACAAAGTCAATGATAGATATCTCTTTCTCTTGTCGCCTAAGTTTCCTTACCTAGTTCACAGGCTATCTAACCTGTATAGTAGATCCTCCGTTACAATAATAGCTGGCTATTGTCTCGGACGTCATCACATTCAACTAACTATAGGCTCTGGTACTCTAGGTCTCTAGGGTTACTGTCAAAGAAAATCTACTATTCAGGGTAGAAGACCTGTCAACTAGGTAAGGGTACGTAGGCAGAAAGCTAAGCAGTAGATATGAGGCAGACAGAAGACTGATTCTTGCCTTCTTCTTCTATTAATATTAGGCTAACTTTATATCCAGAAGAAACCCCTTATTCTCCTAACAAGATAAGACTGACAAGGAGCTACTATACACTATTGAAAAGTCAATGGATATGTGATCCGTTGTCGCCGTTCGGCCTCCGAGCTGTATATGCACAACGGGCAGGGTATACAATACAGCCATCATGCAGAGTCATCATCGATCTGTAACATAAACATACCGATCTAGATACTGCAGGGTAACTGTATAATAATAACTAGTACAGATCTAGAGACAATATATTTTATTGTACATAAAAAGATCTATTATAATAGATTCCTTGATTCGTAAAGTAAATCGATAGTAGAAGATATATATATATATATATTAGTCAGTATAAACTATATCTTTAATAGAATAAGATATAGTTACAGTAGGTTCTGACGCTTAGGTTTCTATCTCGGCACGCAAATATAGGCTTCCTGGTCGCAGAGGTTGCATCCTTCGGTAGCACTGTGACCGTATATCTCTGTGTAAGGGCGCCTTCGGCGTACGTGATCAGGCTAGCGCTACGCCGCCGGAGCCTAGTAGACCAACGAGCTTCAAGATAGGCAGTAGGGGGAGATATCTTGTGTTCAGATTACTAGGAAGATTATATATAAAGTAGAATAGAATAAATCGCTTGAGGATCGGGATTCTCTACACAATTCCCATACATATAGTATATTATGGGCCGTCGGGCCCGGGGTATCTTACTTGCAGCGGGGTATTGTTACCTGAGACTAGGCCTAGAAATGGTCCGGTCCTTGGTCTTTTTAATAGGGCTAGGACCGCACTATGGTCCCCCGCGGGGGACTATTTTTATATAATTTTACCACAATCTTCCCTTTCCGGTAGAATAACTATATATAAAGTTTAGATTAAGATAGAATAAAGATTTTATATATATTTAAAAAAAAAGTTAGAATGGAACCCAAAGACGGTTCAATTTCTCAGAGCTATCACACGCCCAATCTTTGTCAGGCAAATATGCTGCCTTTAGGATTGTGATACTCCAGAATTATGAAGCGAGTTGGCTTTTCAGTAACCCCCAAGCATAACTATACAACGAATAGAGAGGGCAGCTATTCCCAATAGCAAAGAGGTCATGTATAGCTTGTCCAGAAAGCAGCGTTGTATTCTAGAGATATATTATCTCTTTGGAAGCAATACCTGAGGCTATACATATACAGTAAGAGACCTACCATCCCAGTCTATAGGAAAATATATGGCACAAATACCAACTACTACTAAGCGCAACTATTATAATCTATATACGGTTTAAAAAATATTTCTCTAGTAGTTAGAAATTAATCTTCTTAGACTTTTAGTAACTTTCCGTCATTAAGGTTAGTTAAGTAAGATAAATTTAGACGAGATAGCTAACTGACCGTAGAGTCCTTGCACAAATACCCAGGCGTAACAATTGTGCGGATGCTTCTTGGAAAATCAACCAGCATGTTCACTGCTCTATGCCAGTCTGGATGGCCGGTCTACTAAAAGCCTGACTGCCCTTGGATGTAAGACACCGGACCAGCCGGACTAACATATTCAGTCCTGGTTCCGGCCCAATTGGAGCATATCGTTCTAATCACATGTCATGAACGTTAGCATCCTTAGTACAAATGCCCGATTATAGGATAATCGGCATGGGATGTAGTAGAATATCGTACGGCTGACCTTACTGCGAATTTTGCAAAAGCGAGAGATGACCCATACGGTACCATAATAGATCCCTGGGGATAATAATACGAAACTTGTATCCTGCCGTCCTAACTACATGCATATTTCCAGTCACGTTTGAGGCAAGTGAAGAACAACTTGTGCCCTTATAAGATCCACTAGTGCCTTGCGACCTTTGGCCTATACCTGGAGAGTATCCCCCGCCCAATTCGTTTGTCCTAGGGAATGTCATTGCTTCAGCAATCCATAATCGCTATTCTTAGTAGCCACGTCGTAAAGCGATGATGAGTATGGAAACTATCTCTATAGAACCCCAGTCCCAGGCCTATATTTTCCCATTACCCCAACGTACTCAGCGTATATAGAATCTATAAACTTACGCCCATAAAACAGTTGTAAGGGGCCAACAAGGAGCGTAATGTTCCCATTATTAAGGTATAGGCATAATATCCACCACTGCTGCACGGATAGCACGATACTAATGGACTGTTTCTCTGTTCATGCAAATACCAAGTCAGCATATGCCACCTACTACTGTAACCGTTGTACATGTGGCGAGGCTCGTTGCTGTGGAATTATACCTATCTACTGAGATGACATCTCGATGAGCGTCTACATAAATCAAACCAACAACAATTTACCAGTTCTAGTAATGGAGCTGTTAATCAGTGAGGTGGAAAGCACTAGAAAACAATTACAACACTCATAAGACGCATAAAGATAGGCATGTCAAAGCAAAGTAGTGTGTAGTATATAGCTATAACACTCGTTTATGTCTTGTCTTTGATAATATTAGAAGACATCAACAATTAGGCCGAATACATCACTATAAATTCGCTGGCTAAGAATAGCAAGCAGACCTTCCGGCGAGAGCACTCTGGATGATTGCTGCCAACAAGCTTTTGTACGGGATCCCATTTTCTTCGGCACTGCTCGCCAACGGAGAATGGCCGGGAAGAAGGCCGGAAATAGGATTAAGCTATATGAAATTAGATAAAATTATCTTGCTTGAGGTGAAGTCGACCTTAGCAGACTTACCTCTAGAATATTAGGGACAGCATCCTGCTCATTGGAGCTAAATCGAATATCGACACGTCCAGCATCGCGGCAGCCAAGAGTCCTCCAAGCGTCCAATGCAACCTGACAGGCAATCTTGACCTGTGGTTCAGTCATAAGTCCAGGGTTATTGCATGCTACCAGCATATTTGTGTCGCTACCCTTGCTTAATCTGCTGGCAAACTCTAAACCGCTGGAACTTCCACTTCCCCTGTTACTGTCGCTGGAGGGATTTTGCCACAGTAACTCTGTTACGCCAATCACACGACTCTGGACACCAGTTCCTAAAATGCTCACTGAAAGCTCCCGTCCAGGCAGAAAAGGTTCCACTAAGATATCTTGGTCGGGTAATATTGATCTTAGCCTATTGACTGCCGATACTAACTCTGCAGGGTCTGTCACTTTGTTAAATCCGTCGATCCCCTTAGAAGATCCTTCTATAACTGGCTTCAAAAAGAGTGGATAGTGCGATAACATATTGTTAAGATTCTCAAGCCTCAGTTCCTGATCCTTTCGTGAGATTACCCAGAAGGGAGCTGTGGGTATGTTATGATGAGTCAGGATAGTCTAAGTGCCCATATCTGTTAGCAGGGCCGTGGTCTTCAAGTGATGACTCAAGAGATACGGTACCTTAGTATAGACCTTATTCTGACAAAGTGCCATCGTGGCAGCGTCAGAAAAAGTGTAAAGCAATTGGTAGGCGTCTAACAGCGCCGGAACCTGGGCTTCCCTGGATGGCCCATGAAAGCCTTGTGCCATGTTAAATGCCAGATCCCAATCCTTATATGTGCCAGCCGCTAGGTGTTTGACAAGGGAATGGATTCCTGGCACTAGTATAACATGATGGCCAAGTTCTCGCAGTGTAGTCAAAACAGTATCGGTTTCACCGTTGTGTGGTAAAGCCGCACATTCTTCTTCTGAATAACCTTGCTTGTGGAAGGTCGACCGTTGTTCGGCGATTAAGGCTATATTAAGGGAAGGTGTGTTAGACATGGCCGGCCTTCGAATAGCATCCAATATTGTATTGAGATAGAGTAGGAATTTAAGACTTCCAATTTTCACCTCAACTACATGCGCTATTTAAAGGTATTTGTGGGCTATATCTGAATCCGTCCTTTCTCAATGGAATCCGGTCATGTTGATGTTACCGTAACCTTTACCTATACGACGGCAGCTTACGACATAGACGGCATTCCTCAAAACCCTTTTCCGGTAATCATCAATAGTGGGACTTTTATTAACATCATTCGGTTTGATGCGACCTGAGGGCGGTGCTGGGAAAGAGAGAGTACATATATATGCCTAAGGGTAAATATATTTTCGAATTTTGCAACCCACCAACTTCAGCTAGCCACTTCATATACTTACCTACTATGCCTTGCGCGGCGGATGAGTCACATGACCTTAGATTACACCACCTAAACCACGAAGATTTCCTAAATCAATTGTCTACCTAGATTACCCATCTTATCTAAATGGGCATTGCAATATATTCAAATGATTTAGTAATATAGGTAATGCAGAGTGTTGAAATGATCTAGAAATCTAGACAACGCAGCATGTTCAAATACTCTTGAAATCTAGGTTTTATAAGCCAATCAGAACGTGTGAACACATTATGTAATCACTCATAAGGAAAAAATGGCAAGAGAAGGCAGGCGTCAATTCTTTCTTGTTCAGTCAAAGCCCAGAATTGTGGTCCAATTAGAATCCAGATCCTATCCCGCAGCCTCTCTACACAGTGTATTTGTCAAAGAAATATCTACTATTCAGGGTAGAAGACCTGTTAACTAGGTAAGGGTACGTAGGCAGAAAGCTAAGCAGTAGATAATATGTAGACAGAAGATTGATTCTTGCCTTCTTCTTCTATTAACATTAGGCTAACCTTATATCTAGAAGAAACCCCTTATTCTCCTAAGAAGATAAGACTGACACGGACTACTGTACACTATTGAAAAGTCAACGGATATGTGATCCGTCGTCGCCTTTCGTCCTCCGAGCTGTATATGCACAACGGGCAGGGTATACGATACAGTCATCATGCAGAGTCATCATCGGATCTGTGACACAGAATAAATACAGCTAATATAACTCCGGAGAATCTGCAAGAAATGATTAATATAGAAGCAGAGAAACCAGCACAATCCAGAATAGACTAGGAGATATAGGATTGAGGGACTATCTACCAAAGGAAACTGACAGAGTTTCTTTCGGGGCTTAATCTACAGTTTTGTCGATATCTTAGCTAGAGCTGTCTGACAAAGCTCTACTGTTTTAGTCGATAGATACTGTCGATAATAGATACAAAGATGCTAATCTAGATACTGTAGTATGACTGTATAATAACTGGTACAGATCCAGATAATATATCTTATTCTGAACAAAATGATCTATTGTGACTGAATTTCCAGATTTATCAAATCAGAATGTAGCTGAAAGTATATATATATACCGATCAGTATAAATCTTTTCTTGATCAGACTAAATATAGTATCGAAAAGATCAAGATATAAGAAGAATTGGATTCTGATAAATACTATGTATTTAGAAAATAACATGTAGATATATTAAAGAGAATAGTCTTATCGCACGGAATGGCAGTAATTTGACAGGTCATCTTTGTTAATAAAGTAGAAATACAATTTGGAATCGAGGATAGAGAGAATAAATATAGAAATAAGAGCTTCCGTATAGAAAGGTAACAAGGCAAACCGCCGCGTGAATCAATAGACGCGCACAGCGTGCTGGCGGGAGTATGTACCGCGGATTCGCGGAACATCGAGAGGATTGACGAATCAGCGGCGGCTTGGGTGCAGCAAGGGCTCGCTGCATCGTGCACTAGTGTATAGGCTTGATGTGCTCGTGCCGCCAACTGAATTCTCGTCTTCGCGACTCGGTGCCGTAGGGATACTTCCCGTTGTGTCGGTTCCTCTGGGCTATGACGATATAAATCTGCCATTCGGTATGGCTTTCGTGGGTCGATGGTATGACGAGGGATCTGTCATTCGCTCCATGTCTTCGTATGAAGCAAACTTCCCTGCTCGCAAGATGCGACATCTGATTGAGTAAGGTACAGTATGGAGTAGCAGGCTCAAGACGCGTGGTATGTGGCAATAGTATTGAAGATGGTACAGCATTATTGATTATCTCGGAGAGATAAATCAAGGTATAGCAATAGTATAGCGAAGGGCAAAGATTGAGATTTAGAGCAAAGGACACTGTCTCTTTATTAAGAGATAGAGATTAGGATTAAGTCCTCCAACAATCTTGTATTTACATTCTTTGTAGTGGTGTCGATTGAGGCACAAGCGGGTGCAGGAGTAATTCTGATCTTCTGACCCTTTTGTCGCAAGGTTCTTCAGTCAAATCCAGTAAACATCATTTTCCTGAGACTTGTAATCACTTAGAACTAGGATTACCCTGGACCAGACGAAATATTATGAATCGTGTATTGGAGTTTATCTAACAGGCTATGATAGCATTGACTTTTATAACTTTGAAGTGCTCTCTTCGCGGCCAACAAGGTTAGGGTGGCCGTCGTTCATTGGTCGGGTGACAGCGTAGAAAGCAACACCCTCAGTCTTTGTTGAGAACTGTAAATGGGTCAGCAAGTGTATACAGGATAATTGGAGTACAGAGAACTAACCTGAGCCTTGGATCCAACATGGAAGAAGGCCCAGTCTCCAGCAACGAGGTGGTGGGTCTTGCCAGTGGCTTCATCCTGTATATTATAAGTATTATTCGTAATACAGATTTCGAAATCGACTGGGATCTTACTGTGATGTCGATTTGGCCCTTGAGAACATACTTGGTCTCCTCGTAGTCGTACTCGCCGTATCGTGTAGGTCCGGGCACAACACGGTAGAATCCAGTGGTCAGGTAAGGGGTAGAGTGTGAGCTCTGGGATTTGATTGAGTGGAAGTCGGCGATAATAGCGCATTCACCCTCGGGGATAGGGATGTGCTCATGGCCGGCGCCCTTGATAATGGTAAGAGGAACGATCTTGTTGTTAGACACTAGAGATGTTAGCACAGGATTTTAGACGACAACTAAGAGTATCTCACTGTTGAAGCGTATAGATGAAGACTAGAGATATAGACAAGTAGGTACGAGACAAGCTGCCAGCAGCTGCTTATATACCGATTGCAACGGAGCATTGTCAGTATAGATAGTGTTATCGGACCTTGAGATACGGGATCCGGCTCCGGAGCCGTAGCTCCGTGCACCGCTCAAGCTTATTCACCTGCCGCTAAGCTACAAAGAGGGTTAGTGTTAGCGAATTAAGGTGGACCGAGATATAACGTGATCGGAATGTCACGGTGCTTGGCCGGATTATCCTGGAGGAACGCCTATCTTCCGTTACCTTGCCGGTATCTTGTTATAATACCTTTTGAATATTCCTATTTATGTCCCATGCCATCATGCACACCGTCCCTCGTACTCCGCCCATTTTCTCTCTTCGTACGGCCTTAGTTTACTCGGAAATAATGTCGATAGCATGCTCCAGCCAAGGCGAGGGTACACCTCCTCCACTTCGTATAGAATCTGCAGTATCTTTTCGTCGGCAATGACTTCCACAAACTCAATGTGGATGCCGTGGGCCCCAGGATGTCGCGAGATCCCTGCAAAAGTAATTTTCTATAAAATGCCAACTCTGCCCACAGTAACAAGAAACCAATAGTTTTGATAGATTTCTGCCGCAGTAATCAGCAAAAGGATCCAAAAAAGAGCGAAAAGTCCTAGAATAGCACGGGTAGCATTCGAAATTGATATATTAATATCGGATTGTCCAGATAAGAGGTCTTCTAAATAGGGGAATATATCGGTGCTAATAATTAGGATAGTATATTAACTTCTGTTGCCCCTTGAGAGGATAACTTTCTTGGTAAAGCCTGCTAGGAAGTGTCTGCAGGTCTATTTTTCCTTTTTCTATCGAGAGAGGCTTGTGAATCACGCAGAGAGAGTAATATCGTAAGCCGTGATTATAATAATTCTCCAGTTACTGAAAATGGTAGATAAGATTCCTCCAATACCTCATTATAAGAAAGCGACAAAAACGCTTTTGTATAAAATTTCTGGACTAATTAGACCTAGGGTCCTCTGTTCCTGAGCCGCCTTGTATATTGAGATGTAGAGGCCAATCTGTGTGGGCTTGGGTAGTTCAGACTCATATTACTCATAAGTCTTGATTCTTTTCTTCCCATCTCCAGTCAATGATATACACTAGTGTGGATTTGACGTCCCCATATATCCAAAGCATATAATCTGAAACTAGTCTTCCGATGACCCAACTGGTGTTTGCCCTTAGATATCCAGTCTTATCATTGATTGTAATGCATCGGCAGTCTGGAAGAGGTATAAATCTATTCTCAGTAACTGCTGAGACAAGAGTATTTATAGAATATGCCACCCAACCTAATGCCAAGGTTGTGAGATTAGAGATATTTTAATAGAAAGCCTCATATCCCACCAAAAGAGAAGGATGCCGGCCCAATTCTCCCGCCAGCAATTTGTCCTAATGACCGCCAAACAAGATCACTACCTAAAATGAGTAAGACGAGGAACGCTGCTGCTGGATGTTTCCACTGTTTGAGGAGCTCCTCAGAGGGTATTCTGGCGTTGAAAGATATAGACGGCTGTACAGTGTTTATAGAGGGTGCCATTGACCTCGACGAATGAAATAGCCTCGGGTAGACTCTCGGCCGCGGGGACTCTGTCCCAGTAAAGAGAGATATGGAGAATAATAGAGCCGATTAAGCCTTGCTCTTTCTTCAAACATACTTAGCCAAGCCTCCTACATTGCATCACTGTGGCGAGTTGAACTCCTCCAAATTGAAATACCATTTTGAATGAGTCGGTTCCTCCAGAGTACTAGTTTAAAACTTAAAGGGTAGATACGAACTACTCAAACTATTAAAGCGAGTTCATGGGGCTCCTCGTAAACAGTGCAACTAAATCTTTAGAAGGCTTTGATTTGGGATTGGGCGGACCGTAATGATCCGCCAACCATCACTGAACAGCCTTCTCGCGGCATACTCATTGTATAAGAGCACGACCTTTCGTGACAGGGTTTCCAGACACTTGCAACCGAGAGTCCGTGTGGTCGTTTCTACCATAACCGCCTAGCGATATCTATAGAAACAATATTGGGCATGTTGGTACATGCCACAAATATACCTGACTAGAAACCATGGATCTAACCATCATAGACGATCGCGGATTTTGACCTTTGCAAAACAATTGCCTAAGACCATGGTCTATGGGATCATTCTTTTCCAAGATCTAAAAGTATTATTTGTAGTGAATTATTCATAAACACCCTATTAAGGCTATTATATAAATACAATAATTAATAACGAACAAAATAATAAAGAACACTCTCCCTAATAATTCTAATCTATATATTCTTCTGTTTATATCTAGGCAAGCTTCTGTTTCCCCTTAGCTCGCTAACTTTCCTTTATACTTTTTCCAAGAGTTTCGCGTCTCCTTCAACTATACAAGCATCATTTGCAGAGTGAGCCAAGAGCGTGACTAGAGATCCAAGCTCCAAGAAGTCCGTTCATAGTTCGGTGGCCCGCTGACCTTGGATAGCCATAATCTAGGCTACGTGTCACGCCATAGCATCATGCCACACTGTCATTTGCGGAATGCGCTGTATGGAAGCGGATTTTGATCCTCTACCAGTAGCGGGCCAATGAAGAGGATTAAAACTGTTTTTCAACTAGCGTTCGGCCGTGTCGCAACTAATAGCTCAGCCTTGATTTTCAACACCAAAGGATTGATGGGTCAAACTTTGATATTAAACGCTCTTTGACTCCAATTCCCGAAGAAACGCAGAGTAGCCCACTTATATATGGCGTAATATATAGACATCTTGCGGAAGATTCTACAGGGGTATAATGGCTACCTTTAGTATCGTAAATTCTGTTAACACGTAACCATCGATCATCCTACTCCATTTACAGTTCATTTGCTTGTTTCGGCCATGTATATGCGCGCCGAACCCGAGTCGTGACATCAAACCCAAAGCAAAAATGCTAGGCGGTTGACCCGCAAAACAAGCTTAGTTCCCATGTCTGGTTGCCAATCATTTTCTCGCGAACATATACGGAACATCTTACGCTATAGACAATGTACTGTTGGTTGACCCAGGTTGCTTTTTGAGCACTTTTCTTTTCATTATCACGCTACAATATACAGGATCTTATAACTGATGTATTGGTTCCGGCCAATATCTCGCTCCTGATTTTCTCGTAGTTAAGCGACATAAACTTGTTAGAGCCGGCGATCTTCGGTTCAAAAGCGAGCTTTTCACTATTACAGGATAGCTGCGCGTCCCACTATACTAAGAAAACCACCAGGGCCAAGTCGTCGGTTATATCGTGGGATTTAAGGCTTGACAATGTACAATAGGCAGTTTATCCTAGTTATGGAACACCAACAGCTTTAGAACTCGTAATTGCAAGCGTATCTAGTTTATGCCCCTATTTTGGAGCAACCCTTCTCATAAAGGGATTTCGGTCGAGTGTGGGGGAATCTTTTGCAATGCAAGATGCGCAACACAGCCACAATGATCTGGGTTATGGTGTACCTCGATCTTTTGGTCCCAATACTTAATCATCTCATGATTAATCCAAGTTTTGCAGCCAATCTCCATAGGGTAGAACCTGCAGAGCACGGTGCAGTTAAGTTCTGCAGAATTCCTCCGTGCAACGTGTGGAAGTCTGAGTCACAGATATCCATAACCGAAGCTATACGTGTGCTATTATATCGAAATATATGTGTTCTTTGGTTTCGAATTACTTAAAAAGGAGAAATCTGAAGTATTTAGCAGATAATCATATTTTCTACAATAAACTAGTATATAGGTGTAAAAATTAAGTACCCCCAATTTGGTAAGGTATTAGAATGTAACTATTTAACATACAAAATATTAAAGTAGTGATAAATTAAAGAACTTTTGGAATGAATCGACTGTATCTAGTAGAATTGTTATCGAGTCGCGTGCGGGGAGGCCTATAAAAATGACAAAATGCCGACCCGCGTGCAACTCTAGTACCGATGGGTTGCTAAGACTCGAATTTAGCACAGTATTTGTCATTTGGTTGAAATAATAATGCGCCTTCTGAATCCTTCCGTACAGAGGGTTATAAGAGTCTTTAAATGAAGCTACGAGTTCTTTTTCATCTTGGCATCTCTCCAAAAACCTGTCGTGTTAGTAGTTGGTAGATCCAGAATAGTGGAAGAGCCATTTTGCTTTTAGGAGAAACTCAGCTCCCAGGATTGGTACGATTGGTACAGAAACCCGCCTAGCTTGAGATCCGACCTTTTCTGGTTAGTCTTCCAGGTCTGGGAGCACGCGAAAGCTGGACCAATGGGAGTGTCGAAGAAGTCAATTCCACAAGCCGCCGTCTGAAGGGAAGATACGTGTTAGCGGCGTTTGGAAAGAGATATGAGGGTCGTAAAAATTACTTGGTTGAATGCAATCGCGACAGCAGAGCAAGAACCGCCTGCCTATTTAAGACAGGAAACATTAGCATAGGATAGATGCTCGAGGAACTAGAACATTTCTTCCATACCAAGCCATGGCCATTGTCCCCAAATTGCAGTTGAGTAAAGGCGTATTGTGTCTTGTCATATGCGTCCTGAATGCTGATTTTGACGACGGTGCACTGAATCTGAGCAGACTGGCCATTTGTGAACGTCTGAATATCTTTCTCGTATACATGCGCGATATCGTTTAAATTTTGAACGAAATTGGTCTGTACTTGAGCCAATGTCGCCAAGGGAACCAAGAGGAGTAAGGAGGTTAGAGAGTGGACAAGCATTATGAGCAGGATAATACCGAATATGGCTAGTGAGTTGGTTTAATCGCTAGTTCAATGTATGCAAAGTACTAGTGGCAGATCACCATCGACACATTGTTTGCTGACGCTTGGGGTTTGGCTGGATCTATCTTTCCAGAGCGTCAGGTTTTTAAGTTAAATGGTGATCCTCACAGATCACTAATTCATGTACGGATACCCCGTATGGAGTGCTCCATACGACCAACCCAAATACGGACGACCTTACTCTGTGTACCTTGTTAGATCCAAGTGTTAGCTGACGGTGAAGAGGATCGCGGCAATGCCACATAGAATGAGTGTTCCAGAGCTAATGAGACAGAATACTTGTGGCTCTTGGAAAGATTAACGGGTTCGGTTCAGCTCGGAGTGGGTCAACTTGCAGATGTGGAATGTCGATCATGGACTTAAAAGGATCTCAGCTCGGCGACAAGCTCCCCAGGGCACCAATAGCGCCAAAATTGGATCATTGTGTCTTGGTCTTTATGCACCTCTGTATCGTACATCTGGATATTATTGGTTGCGTGGATCTTATCCCCAATATTAGCGTGAAAACCTAGCTGCCCCGAACTCTAGAATCAATTAATATAAGCCACTATACTGTGTAGTTTTGCAAATTACGAAATATTGTTTACTCTTCGGGACCCGACGTTGGCCTATTTAAATATTCCACTCCCACAAAACTCTTCCCATGCGTCTACCCAACCCTGCGCCCACTACTTATTGCCAGTCATGAGACTCGTCCTTTTTACCGCCCTGCTATCCATCCCAGGATCAGCCATTGCTGAGGAAGCCATTGTCGGTGGATCTCAGGCAGCAACCGGGGAATTCCCTTACCAAGTTTCCGTCCAGACCTCCTCCCACAAATGTGGTGGATCTATTATCGATAAAGATCATATCTTAACTGCCGCTCACTGTGTCGATGGACTATCCGCAAATCGCCTGAGAATCCGGGCTGGTTCAAACCAACACAGCTCGGGTGGAAAGCTGGTCAAGGTGGCGAAAGTCACACAACACTCGGAATTCGACGCGAAAACAATCAAGAATGACATCGCCGTCCTCAAGCTGGCCTCGAGCCTAGACTTTGGGTCTACCATCTCGGCGGTGGAACTGCCATCCTCAGCGGACGATATGCCGCAGGTGGGGACCAGGTGCTCTGTCACTGGCTGGGGGAGTACCTCCGCTGGAGGCTCCACTCCCACAAACCTCCTTGTCGCGTACGTCGACATCGTTGACCACGAGCAATGCGTGGAGGAATATGTGAACCTCCATGAAGTTGATGCCTCCATGATCTGTGCTGGCGTCAAATTTGGAGGAAAGGATGCTTGCCAGGGAGACAGTGGCGGTCCACTTGTTGATGCCAGCTCTAAGAAGCAGGTTGGAGTTGTTTCCTGGGGCTTTGGGTGTGGACAACACCACCGAAATGGTGTCTATGCTAGCACCGCGGCTTATCTTGATTGGATTCAGGGGGCCGTTCTAGCAGTATAGATCCATTAGAAAGAGAAAATACCACCCGGTTCTTGAAAGGAACTCAGGAGATCCTCCCACAAATCTAACACCCCAAGCTCTGCACATGTGTATCGCTCTTACCACTGGCCTTCTGCTTCTCGATCGGAAAATGCGCACACGATATAATCCACAGAGATGCGACTCTAAGAGTCATCATGTAGATTAGCCTACCGGGGATCGTCTTCTACCAAAGTAATACAGTCTTTTGTTATGCAACATGAAGATAACTAATTGAAGCCAATACGAGGCAAGAAAGAAGGCGAGTGGATATGGAAAAAGCCAGATTGCCAGATATCCCTGACCCCTTCGAGATCCCTCCCTAAAACATTCCACGGGCCTATCCGGTACTTTGCAATGACTCACTTGAGAAAGAAAGAAAGAAAGAAAGAAAGAAAGAAAGAACAGAACCCTATATGGGTTAGCGTGGTTTCGGGGTACAGACTTATAACCAAAATCAGTGTCGGGGGAAACTGTTTCTGAATTCTACTGTAGTTAAAAAGGCTATAGCCATTCACACTGTACTTCCCCTATATCAGAGCACAGTAACATCTGGGGAGATTAGTTCGCAGCATCCAGATATCAAGGGCCCCTCTCGGGCCTTCGTCGTCCTTCCTCACCCATAACACCAAACCCACCGCCCCACCGCAACGACAAACCCCTCCTCCAGATTCCAACCACCTCCACAATTGCTGCTGGAGCTATCACATTTCACAGACAAGTGCTCACCGACGTCACACTTCCTCAACTGGCCCAGGATATCTTGTATTACAAGTCCATCCCTCGCTCCGGCGGATCAGCGTGCTACTTTTCCTAAGGGTCGACGATACGTCTCTTCCGCATTCCTGGACAATCCCTTCGAAGAGATGCAGCAACTTCGAGGTCCAGAATCCTCTCTACTGCAATCGGCCTCCAAGTTCAATCAACCCGTACAGATGACTTCAATAACAGAAAACGCCTGGGACACCCACCCTTTTGTTTCTCAACATCCCACCCATGATGAGCTAAAATCTATGCGGTCCGAGAAAGTCCTTACATGGTACCTTTTTATTCCCTTCATTAATATCTGGTACGGCCGTCAAAAATTACTGTAATTATAGATTCCAGCATTACGCCGGCTATTCTACAAATGAGATAGAGACCCACCTCCGAACATTTCCGAGATCCGGGGCACGCACCTTAAGGGGAAATGGGGAATGACTTGCTCAGCATTGAAATATGATGCAGAACACTGTAGATTTCCTTGATGCAAAGATCAGTCAAGGGCTCCACCTTGATTAGTAGTGACCGAGAACTTGGATTTATTGTACGTTTTCCGCCCTGGCAAGAGAATCTTGATCCGGTCGACAGATCGCCCTACAGAGCAAAAGTGGCAGTCAGATAAAGGTTTCTCGACCTAATGTTTACGTAACGTATGGAGCTTGTGAGATAATGATTGTGATGATGACGATGAGGCGACATGAATTATTAGACTTCCTATTTCGGAAGTCCTACGAAGTAATAACATTCTTTATAGAATTTATGTCGTCGCTCTATTTAAAGGAGTATTCCTTAATGCATTATAATTTAGTAAGGCACACTGTAGCATTGCAGTACATCGTTACAACCCTTGATAAGCCTATATATGTTACGATTGTTTTGAACATTGAAATTATATTCGAAGAATAAGATTAATCTGCCCACTCTAAACACACTGGGCCGTATTAGGATCAGGTCCTGTAGGGACGCTCAGATGTATAATAGAAGCCGTACATGCGAAATTTAGGTTTTGAGAAGAAGGGGGCATTGGTACATTGCTATCTTTTCAAAATAATAAATTCCACAGCGGTTTGTTCCAGAGGCCGATTGATTCTGGAAGCCCTCCAATCACTCCAAAGAGCCTGTTGGGCGGTGCTGGGAGGCTGTGATTGGGTGTTGGACGGACCAAGTGGTGCCGATCCAATCCAGCTAAGCACAAAAGGAATAGGGTTATTTACAGGTCCTTGCTTTTATACTGCCTAAATTATCTGTGTATTATACCTAGTAATGTTCCTCAATATTATGGATCTAGGCCGACATAATACGGTAAACAAGAGATCAGAGCAGTGAAAGAATGGAATATCGATAGAAGTTAAATTTACTCCTACCCACTTCACTCAACTTTAATCTATAGCTACTCGCGAAGCGCTCGGTGGCTTCTACGCTTCGCCCCAAACCCTTCCATCTTAATGTATCTATTATGCTCTCTTCTTCCACCACTTAGACACTGAAGGCTAATTGAGCCTCGACTTTCTAGCAGGTTCCGCCGACTATTTATCTCTGGATACAATATTCCGTGATGTAGATCGATGGTCCTCGGAAATATATCCAGGAAAGCTAGGATAGTATAGGTTGTGCTGCTAGCGTTGGGACGGACTGTACCGGGTCTTGTTTCGAATACTCTTCAAGGCATCCGTATTTAATATATAAAAGCCTGCATTATAAGATATCGCTAGTATTAATAAGATTACTTCCTTGATCCGGCTTTGTCAATTCGACTTACCATTGAAGGGGTAGGTAAATGATAAAGAGGTTGGTATGGTGCTTATGGCCTAGAAGGTATATTCTGAATATGTCAAAGTTGTAAGTAGTGTGTGCGTAGCTAACCACTTCTTCGTCCGTAGTCACTCGAGCGGTGCATGTTATTGTATTGGTTCTTTCCATAAAGGGCTTCTGTTATGGTGTCTTCAAATGTCCTATAGGGCCTACAAGGGAGTAAAGGAGATAAGGAAAATAAAGGAAATAAACTAACTATCCCACTTATAAACTCCAGATAGGCTAGCCCAGCCTTAATATAAGTGATAGAAAAATCTATTTTCGGGCAAAATAGAGGCCAGGGAAGCCAAAGTGTCAGGTCTACAAAGGCTTGCTGGCAGGATACAGATACCCATAATTCAAATGTCTAGTTCGAAGTAACGTTTATATATTAGCCTGTAAGAAACTCCTTCGTCTTATATACACTATATATGGAATAGGTTAGAGACCCAAGGGCTTCGCATGGAAGGGGAGAGTAAGCGCACATCAAGAATACTTTTTGTGGCCATCAGTTTATAACGTCGAGATCGGCGGGCTATGGACTATTAACTGTCCGGTCCTATTATATCAAGAAAAATATGCGTGGCTGTGTTACAGTATATGTAACATGTCTTTCAAAGAAAAGTCGAACGAGTCTGGCAGGAATGGGTCTACAGTGCTTCTATGGATACTGGCTCTATGGTTGGGGTTGCAAATCCTTCATTCCCAACCAGCATTCCACCACAAATAATAAGTATGAGACTGACGGCCCTTGAGGTATGGCACACCCTCTAAAAACAGTGACTTAAAAGAATAGTCCGTTATTCTACACAGTAATAACTGGATTCACAGACTATCGAGAATGTCTCAGTTCAGGCAAAGTCTTTATTGTGTGGGGCCGGCGTAGTAGGCGCACCGGAAGACCACCTGACCTTCACAACTTAGTTCGATGTGGTTGGCTATCGATGGATGACTCATTTGCTACTCAACTAGATAATGTATTTCTATAAAGCTATGGCCTAAAGTAATCCAAGACTGGTTGTGTTATAAAGAACAGTTTCCCATCTCAATGTTTGGCTGTGATTGCGTCTTTCGAAAATTTGGAGGTTAGAGGGGATAGGTTAGTTCCAGTACGTAACCAATTGAGTGTGAATTCTACTATCGCCATTTATCACGTTGTACTCTGCGGTGACTGGGGGGCTGCTGATTCTACAGTTGCCTTTAAGATTATCTAAAACTCGTAGGCAGAAACCTCTAGCGAGACTATCATCAATCCAGTTAGGGAACAGAGCCCTAATCAGACGGATGGACTTGTTTCTGTAGATCGTCCCGGTATTAGGAAATTATAATAGAAGGGAAAAGAAGAAAAAGAACAAGATAGATCCAAACCTAGTCAACCAATCTCGGGCACATCTGAAGAGCTCCAAGATATTCTAATTTCAGTTAGCTGACATACACAAATTATACTTGGAGACTTAGCCCAGGGTGTAAAGCATATTCAAAGGCTACCGGAACACGGAATACAGCGTGTTACCTAGTCTCAAGTCATTGAATTTGGAAAGTCAGGAACCACTCCAGAATATCAAGACCAGTGCTGCGTTACCAAGTAATGTTCTTGTAATTGCCATATATATGGCTACGGAGCTGTTGCGAAGCACAATACACACAAGAGAAAAGCAGGGGTGGAAGGAGGACAGTTATTTCCCATTTAGACAGACACTATGCAGCACTACCAAATAGTTTATCCATACCGGCGGTAGGTAGCGCTATGCCGTCATAGGCTCCCTGCTGCCTTCCTATGGTGCCGCTAAGTTGATCATCAGTACCTGAACCTTCAAATTCAGGGTTCCAATTTCCGAAACCGAAAATGAATTCAGTTTCCCTAGATGTAGGCTGTAGGAATTTTCCTTCTATTCTTGCACCATTCTGCATGCCATGGGTGCGCTTGAGACTAAGAGAGAGTTTCTCAGACCCAACCTCACCTTCAAATTCATACCTTCCGACTAAATCGTCAAGAGATCTGTAGTTGACTGTGACAATAGGGGTTCCTGGGAGGTTTATTTTGCCGCTTTTCACCACAAGTCGGAACAGGCCAACTTGGAAGACGGCGTCGTAAGTGTCAGAACCACTACGCCAACGAAGTTCGCCTTGACATATCTGCGTTAACACCGGCGAAGAACCTTTATCATATAATGACTTTCTTACCTTCGGCCTTCTTCTCCAGCTGAAACAGAGTGATTTCATGCCCTGCAAGTGGCTCATTGACCTGGATCTTGAGATCGTTGTCTTTAACAAGTATCACAAATGATGCATTGTCAACCCCTCCTCCAAGTCCAAATTTGCCATGTACTCCGTCGGTTATAGAGCCTGCAAATGGTTTGATTGACTTGTAACCGACGACAGGCGCAACAATACCAATTTCGCCCTTGATCTGACCCGTCTTTTCATCGATTTCACCTTTGACCTAAATTTACGGTAAGTCAATCACTGATAAAAATAGGCCATCTGGCAAAAGGATAAGGTACCTTAACAGGGCCAACGTCTTTCTCAAATTTTGCTGTGAATCAAGACTTTGTTAGGAAACGAATAATTAGAAAGCCTGGTTGCTTACTGTTGTTCATTTTCAGTGAGAACTACGGTCTGTCCAACGTACTGTGATATCCACTGCTCCTGAGCTGTATGATGATGATGAAAAGCATGCACTGGGAAGGGAGCTGAAGACTCAAGTACTTTAGAGTGGTGGGGTTACTACTGCATGCTGACATATGCTCTTCAGCTCCAAGCTTGTATCTGATTACACGGTTGGGTGAATGTCTTTTTACTTTATTTTGTAACTCCTACCATGCTGTCATCATGCGGCGATATGCATACATAGCGCCTAAAAATACGTGGCATTTTGGGATTGATATATATTCAGCTGATACAAGCAGCCAGTTACAAGAGGCCCTCCATTTAGTCGCACAATTTCAGCACCATCACCCTCTGAAAGTCTCGGATAAACTTGGCTCATCCCGCATCTAGCGGGTCGATAGACTTAACCAACCAGGAATTGTTGGGTAGGATTGGACTTTTCGGGATGGGAAAGTTCAGCCACTGTTTCCCTAAACTACTAGATCTCGGAACTCTTCGGAATTGCCGGTGGGTGATTGACTAATTTTGAGTCCTTTCCTTGCCTGTTATTGCCAAAGTACGAAGATATACAGAAACAACTTCATCTGTCTAATCGAGGCTCTATTTACTAATTACATTGAAGATAGTCTCGTTAAAAGCTTTCTACCTACGAGCCTTACATGGTCTTAGAGCCACCAGTCACCGCAGAGAAAGGCCTCGTAAATGGCGATGGTATAATGCATACCCAGCTGCTAATGGACTCTTTCCAGTCGATTCTCTCTGGCCTCCGTATTTACGTAACCACTATTAGCTTTTTCTGTATGTGGAAAATTCATGCATATATGATGGATCAGATAACAGGTTCTCGACCGACGACCTCCATTTTCTAGCAGCTCCGATTGGCAGGTGGCAAAATAGATGCAGATGCATCGTATAGCAACAGCTGACACGTCACTACCCAGACAGAGTTTGCCTTGGTTATACCCGAGTGACAGGTTAGAATTCATTTTCGATGATTCTTCACAGGCAAATCTTTGTCTCGTATATGTTGGGTGAAATGCTATATTCGTTTTGTTAAATAATAAGGGTGGGCTTGCTGAGCAACCATAGTGGGTAGATCCTGGGGATATTGCTAGAAATCTGATAGTATTTCTTATAAGAGGTTCAAACAGTGTGATGTCATCCGGTAGTTGTATTTGCCTTACCCCTCCTTTTAGGTAAGAAGTCACTCCATTTTGCTCGTTTACTTGATATTCATACCGGAACAGTTTATTCTGACATATTTGCGCATGACGCAAGACCTCTGAGGACCAGTTCCAGGAGGTCCGTAGATTTGGTAATTCGTAAAGATGACAAGCTCGAATATTAAATCTCCAGGTATTGCTCTAAAAAATAGGCTTGAGTGCTGAGATCTCCGCTGCCTGGGGCACCCTTTGCCATACACAGCTCCAATGACAAATCTGTGGCGTGTTATACATCTCACTTAGAAGACCCTCTTCACAGTGCTGCTCGTCGCATGAAATCATGAGTTTAGAACAATCTGTATGTCGATATAAACTGTATACTGTTTAGGCCTCTTGTATCGGACTTACCACCACAGCATCATGGTCAACATTGTCAGCCTATGAAATAGGTATAGCCCAGGAGGTTACTAAAGAATGCTTTGCGGATGCAGAGTGGTAGTGCAACATATGTGAAAGAGGCCAGAAGAAGCAGTTCACTGCTCAGAGTTTGCAGGCGGGAATGGAGTCATTTGCGCATTCTATGCGTCATTTTTAATATCCATTTCACAGCTCTTTACATTGTAGTTGTGATCCAGTCACATAGATATTGTGGCCGATCACAAAATTCATAGAAAGCTTTTCCATCTAGTACACGCATCCACGTCTTTGTGCGACATTCCAGCTACGGCACATTACAGAATTTACAAGGCAGAGGTGGACTAGTCGATGGATGCAAGGGGATACAAATCACCTTTATAGGTTATGCCTAATGCGGAGCCCTCACCGGATAAGTATGATTTCTAAAATCCCACGTCCATATCACCGCCTCCTGGGATCTTCCTCTGGATTCATTTGAAGCCCAAAAAAGGTCTGCTACGGCACCCACTCAACGGTAGCGACTCTCTAAATGGAGATGCCACAGTTGCTCCTATCAACGGTAAGCTCAATCTTTGGAGGGATAGGCATGGTGCCATTGCGGTACTATTTTGTGTACCGATACAACCGGATGAATTAAGTATGTCAAGAGTATATCATAATATGGTCGTTTCACCAGGCAGCGGAGCTAAAGCAGCTACGACTGGAAGCCACTCCAGTCCCAACAAATACCGCCAGGTGACTTTCGCGTGTAGACAACAATCCCGGTGGAGAGGGAGGGTTGAATGACCGACAAATGCCTTAGCTTGAACGAGATACCCTAGGATGATGCACACCAGAGTATGATCGGTACAGCGGGAATGAGATGCAGTTCGAATAAGCTATGGGCGAGCAGCAGCTCTAGCCCAGTTGGAAACCCCAGTTGAAGATATCCGCTCACACCACGGCAATGAGGAAGAGCCGCTAAATGTGCACCGGTCTGTCACTGAGCTGGATGCATTTTACCTAATGGCGGTGAGAGAGATATCTCAAGCCAAATGAATGAAAATCCTGGCACCGACTGCCCAAAGACCTGCCTAAAAGCCCCAGAAGCGACAAGGCAGGACTTTCTTCCATGTACCCCGATAAAGGGGTGGTAGACCAAGTTAATTCTGAATAAGCTCGATACTGGCCATACAAACGCGCTGACAGTGCTTGGCCCACGTAGTCTCTACTCCAAAAGTTACCAAACACAAGGTCAACTCCAGCATACCCCTTTCAACCTTAAGCGAGTGTACCAAAGGTCCAGCCTGTCATACATGAATAGCGGCGCTATGTCGGCCATCTAACAGTTGAATTGCAGGCAATGCGCAAGGTTTCATTATAAATCCAGTTGGAGACCTTTTGGCTATACTAGCGAACACAAACAATGATCTTTCCACCGAGAAAAGATTGGACATAGTGAATTGCTAATGGCAGTATTCATGTGTAAGTAGTTACACTGTTCTCCTGTTCGCTATAGGTGCCCCAAAATCGCTATCACCTGGTAGATTCAGATTTTGAAGACAAGAGTTGAACTTCCTCTACACGCACTGCGCCATTTCCTGCATATGGTTCCTATTGTCTGCACTTGGGATTTATTTCACCCAAATCTATCTCTCTTACATCACAAGTCAAGCTTGCATTCAGCACCAGGCCCATCACGATTTGCTTCCTCGCACATGTGAGGATCCTGACTATATTCAAGCGCCGTCAATGCTCTCGGTACAGGGATATCACCCCTAAACTTCCGGAATTTGTGTGCCAGCTAACAAGATACCTAGAAAATTAGAGTAAAACTCTAGGCAGATTCATCCCTGTCAGATTCATTAGATGCACGCACTAAGTCCGAAAGGTTTCAGGACACCGCAAGGGCGACAAAGGACAACGCTGATTTGGAAGCAAACTGGTTCCAAAGTGCCGAAAGGCAGTACTTATCTAGAAGCTTAACAATCTAGGCCCAGGACCGCACTATGGTCCCCCGCGAGGGACCACTTTTATATAATTTTACCAAAATCTTCCCTTTTCAGTAGAATAAAAATATATAAAACTTATATTATAATAGAATAAAGATTTTATATAAAAAAAAAAAAAAAAAAAAAGTTACAAACTTGTCTATAATATATATATTAAAAGTAGAATACTGAAAATATACATTAGTTATATAACTTATATATATTATAAACTATCAAGTATAATACGGGTATATCACTCGGTTAAAATATATAAGATATTTAATTATATCTCTAAATAATCAATCCGACCAATATATAAAATAAAATTAGATCTATTTATCTTATCTAGAGGATCGCAGGACCGGACCAGACCGCGGTGGTGCGGTCCTAGAAAAATCAAGACCGTACGCGATCGCTTCCTAGGCCTAGGCCAGAAACCCAGAAACCGTCTTTAACTTTTTTTGTACATACATATCTCTGAAGCTGAACTCTCTTGCGGAATAATAAATCTACCATTCGTGTGACCCGTCATGCGTGCCCTAGCCCCTGAGGGAAATCCAATATCATATGGGGGTCTGCGACGGACTTAAGCGACTTCAAGCGCCCAAGACCGGATCCATAGTATTCTTGCCCGAACTTCTGCAAGTAGGGGTCAATATAATTCTGATATGAGAGCCACTCGCTCTGTGGGCTGGCCTGCTTAATAGCAGCGGTGATATTGGTTATTTTATCAAGTGCGTCAGCATGAGCTACTGGATCGCGATATCCAGGGAAATACGCCGAATAGATCTGTATAAGAAACAAACTCCGGCGATGAATATAGGACATATCACCAGTAGAAGGTGGACGATTGGTCTCTGCGCTCGGTCCCAGCAAATCAAAAGACACGTCATTTTCTGTACCCTGAATACTTTTCGCGATCTGGATTGCTTGGAAGACGCGATCCACTTGGGGCTTTTTGTAATTCGGAGTTCCACTATCCATCAAAGACTGCGCATAATAAGGTAGAGGGTCATTTGGCCCATCCAATGGACCCATAAGATCCGTAAGCGCAGCAATCCAGTCCTTAAACTCTTTAATCTTGGTCTCGGAGCTCACTGGCTTTATTCCTCGTTTTCTAAGTTTATCCAGTAGCTTGTTGATCACAGGTAAAAAGGCTGTCTTGTTACCCAGGTACTGGCCAGACAAGTAACAGGAACGTTCGTCCCTTTCACTGCGGCCTATGAAGAGCACTTCCATTCCCAGCTCAACGGGAAGGCCAGCGGGATCATTGGCGGGCAGTATCCCGAGGTCTTGGACTTCCAACAATACTTGGGCACATTCAGAATCAGAAGTGAAATGATATTCATAGTTCACAGTCGAAGTGGGAGCCATCTCCACCGCAAAGGTGAATGAAGTGATGATGCCAAAATTATTGGCTCCTGCACCTCGAACTGCCCACCACAGTTCGGCGTCGTGTCCAGTGGAGCCCGAGTTGAGAACCTTAATATTGCCATCGATATCAACGAACTCCAGGGATACAACTAAGTGTGAAGGTTAGTAAATCGCTGTAGCTCCGATTTTCAATGGCATCAAGGTCTACCTACTGCGATCAACAAGCCAGCCCCATTTCCGCGAAGGAAAGCCCCAGCCACCACCTAGAGAATGTCCCGCCACGCCAACTCCAGGGCAGGTGCCATGCGGCAGGGCGTATCCCTTCTGGCCCAATGCCTTAGCCAAAGGGCCTAAGGTCTGACCGAATTGTACAGTTACCTGCCTCTTTTTATCATCAAAGGTTATTGTTTTCATGCTGCTGGGATCGAGGACCACCTGCCCCGAGAGGCTATAGGCAGCATAACTATGTCCTCCCCCGCGAGGACTAAGCTTAACGTTACCTTTCTCAGCGGCCACACACTGCACCGCAGCTGCCACTTCTTTTGCAGAAGCAGGTACCACGATAACTTCCGGATGTGGTTGGTAATTAGAGTTTTGCGCTGTAGACAGTGCATCGTACTTCTGGTCGCCGGGGTATAGTACACTGGCTTGAGTTTTACTCAAACAAGCTTGAAGCGAGGATGGTAGAGCCCCGGCAACGCTTGGTGTTGCGGATACTGCTGAAAAGTTGATGACCGCAAGAGCGAATGCCAGCATCATGATTGTTGGCATGTCTGGTTGATCTTCGAGTTAGGCAAGAAATGGTGCGTAAATTGGGTTTAATACGGCTTCCTGAAGCTGCTCGCTTACCCTGCGATATTCAAGACTGATAGAGCATGCTGCTTTATCAGGGAAGACACGAGGGATTTATAAGAATTCGGAGATGGGAATGCTGACATGCTCCAAGGATTGCCAAGTTCCCAGGATCCGCAAAAAGCAAGCAATCTGAAATTGGTCCGGTGGAGCAACTTCTCGCTTTGCCTCTGACAATGTGCGCATCGTTGATATTATAGAAACCAAACCCTGGTCATTTAGCTTTATCCGGTCTCTACGCACGTATCTTCTCAATAGAAGCGGCATCTAATTGTCAACGAGAATGGGGAATATTTGAGAGATTCGGTGTCTGCGCGATGCCTACCTAAACCACGAGCACTTCGCCTGCTCAAGTGGCTTGGACGAAGTGTTGCTACACGCACTAGAAACACGCCACGGCGGTTGGCTATTGGTGCGTGCGTGCAGATACGAGATCTACGTGCATTCTTCCGGTTTTGCCTCCGTAATTCAGAGACATCCAGATCATGGGGTAAAAGTACCGTAGCTGACCGCCTAACGATCGGAACCACCTGACGATCGATTTCACCACCAACAACCAGGTAGACAATGAAACCATACAACGCCATAGAAAAGAAATTATATAGGGATCTCTTGGTGTAATCGAATATGGACTAAGCAATGTGGTGAATTTTTTTAAGTGAATGGATTTCAAAGAAGAGTCTTTGAGTCTAATTTGAAATGTGTTGGACGGCATGTCTGTTTGCTATCTTTTACAGATTTTAATTTCTGGTGCTTTGCCATTGCTCTTACTCGGTGTGTCTTTGGCTGTAGGCAATTCAACATGGTCAAGTGGTGACCCTGAATATGTAACAGTTTTAAGATGGCCAGTTTTACTGTCCACAACTTGGCCGACATGCCTCCAAACTTCGGCGCAGTGCGACTCAACCGACCACGGGAAAATATGATGGTTATAATAGACCGGCTTGTTAGCAGAACTCCACCCGTTTTCCCCTACCGAATCAGAGAATCGTGTCGACTTTCTGGTTTGTACTATACTCATCTTTTTTTTCAAACTACCAGGTCCGATGTGCCTAGGTTTTTTGCAAGGCCTAATTTGGTTTCATGACCATGACCTAGGATCCAACCCAGCTCTGCATAAAAACATGATAAAGGTGCTGGCAGAAATACGGCTGTTTTCATGTCCGGCTAGCCATTGTGTTGGTAAGATTAGTTTTGTCGCTAGCAATGTACTATTGTCATATTGTATTACTAGACCCCCACGCCTCCTCTTCTAATCCACACTGAAATGAACTGGTTGTAGGTATAGGTAGTGTTTAAAAGATGGTCGCTTACCAGGTAGCTTACACGTTGCTATTTATAATTTGAAGCTAAGTCTAGGCGTGTTACAATAACAGAAACGAATTAATGATTGGGAGCGAATGTCATGATACAAACGGTAGCTGTAGGAAAATAATATGGGGGCTCGATGTTCAAAAGTAGCCTCAAGTTCTGAAAATATGACCTCGTATCTATTGCGTAGCGCTTTCCCTCAAGTAGGGGCTTTGGCTTACCCTGGGCCCACCTCCACGCCGCCTCCGCCTTGGTAGAGCATCTAGTCTGCGCAAGTCATGGGAGATTGCTGTGATAGAATATTAGAGCTGATTCAACAGATGTAAACTATAAAATGTCATTTCAAAGCTTAATACTGACCTCACTTTCCGGTTGGCAATAGTGGTAACTGCCGTCACTCAGCTCGACGTTCATGTTACCGCCGGTGAACCAGTAGTAGGCATCATCACAGGTTCCTGGGCCTTTGAGAGGTCCTGCTTTTGTCTCGTCGGCGCATGTTCCAGCCGTATTCTTGGTGTGGTCACAGTTTTCACCGTCTAGGAGAACCTGAACGAAAGGTATTTGACCAAGCCCCCCGGACCGCCGGGAAGCGTTCCCTGACCACATTGAATTGTAAGGTCAGATGCTGCAGTCGAAAGCGCAAATAATACCCAGATCCAACTAGCAACACTCCTTGTCAGTTCATTGACTTGAGCCTAGGGATTGAATGTGTGGATCCATTTACCGAGTCATTGTGAATGCAACTGGACGAAGAATGAGGAGATATGAAGTAGTTAGGCTTTCAAAATGCAACTAAGGCGGAAATGGTGAGTGAAAAGAAGGGCTATTTATGGTTTTATGTGAGCTGGGAATCCGAAACCATGATATGTCAGCTAGCTTCGGGCAATTCCCTATTGTGGAAAGTAAGACGGAATCATGCCGGCAGCCCCCTTGAGAGTAATGGTGGAAAATATCTCAGTCCAGAATACATAGAACCTTTGAAGCTGAACCCTTCGGTGTTTGAATTTGCTGATATTCAATGCCTATGGTAGAGTCTAGATCCAAAAGCGGCATTCGGTGGTGAATTCAGCTCATGACCACACCAAAACATGATAATTGAAGACATATTAGGATCCCTTTGGATGGGTGGGAGTCGCCGAAAATTGCAATGATTTTAATCTTTCAACATCCAGGAAAGGATCATCCTTTCTAAGTACATACTGGTTATCCATCGGAAATTCGCCGACACAGGGATTGAATACGTCATAGAAGTATTGAACTATTCTCTGGAGCTCTGATATTTCGTCTTGTGCGTATCAGGCGCTTATAGTTCTGAATCTCAACATACCGCTATATTCGAAACTGAGACCACTTAGTTCAATTTGTCATTTTGAAGTTTGGGTTTCCTGGTTCGGAGTATCAGCGTTTGGTATCAGCCTTCTATGTAATTCATCACCGAAAATGTCAAATCTTGTATTAGGAAACATGTCAGTAGACACCGTCTACTGCTGCTGGGCCTTGTATACCCTGAACTAATGACTATAGATTTATTAGGGCCTTTTCAGTTTGACGCGGAATGCTTGACAATCAGTGCAATCTCGACAACTTATCACCGTGTGAAAATTGCTGTTTTCTAGACCACGTTTCAGAGTACCCGGAAATGATATTACTGCAAGTATGTCTTTGCTCTAAAATAGTAAACAGGCCCTACCTGTTTCCAATAATAAATGCGAGGAGGACTCAAGGTACGCCAAGTCATATTGTAGTGTTGAATTAGACATATTTTGGATAACCTCAACGTTAATTTTGGCATACTCTCCTATTCTTATCGGAAAGGTTTGCTGTTCAGATCAGAACTATCCTGGAATCAGACTTAAGTGAGGACCAACGGATTGTGAAGAATGTTATGTAGGCAAGAACGAGACAGATATATAGAGTGGAAGAATTCGAATTTCATCGTAGCCATTGGACGTTCACCCCAGAGGAGGATACTTGAAACTTCGGAATATGGAAAGGGCAGTATGAGGAGTTGTTTGACGATAGTGGAAGTTGCCTTGTGAAAGAAACGAACAACATCGAGCCACAGAATCTTAGGGCGGACAGAATAATGACATGGTCAATATTCATTAAGATTAACCCGCTCGTACATCGACTAATACTTAATCAGAGCTAGGGGCCGTCTGTGCGTTTGTACATATTTACGATCCTTGGAGGTTCTTTATATCCACGGTGCATATCTCTGCGGCATAAAGATATGGGTTGTACGCGGTTTTTGTGGAGAAGACTGACATATCAAATAGTCACTTACAGTTTCTGGTTCTGTACAGATATGCCATGGCAGGACTTGCTGGAAGGTTCTATAAAAGAGGCTTAATTGGGTTCAGATTAGTGCTCTAAGCACTCTTAACCATAGGACTTACAAGGCCATATATAGACTTGGCGACATACTCATTATATCTTAGGTCTAATGTGTGGCACATTGGTAAATTCCTATCCTCGAAACTCGGCGTGGACTATTTGAACCTAGAGTTGGCCTGGCTCCCCGCAAACCCCGTCCCAAACCTAGGTAATCCGCGCAGGTATTTCTTGGCATTATGTGATCAAAAAATCTATATTTTGTGGCTTTTTTCTAAATTTCTATAGATATAGAGTATCAATTATATATATGTATTTGGTTGAGATGCAGGGCTTTAGAGACTGGTGTAAGGTTCTAGCCTAAGCCTATATGGGTAAAGTGTTTGAGGCTTAACTAGCAACTTACTTAACTACGTATAGTAGCGGGTTTTTGGGTTTTGGGTCAGGGTCAGGTTCACCTAAATCAGTGCAGGTTCGGGGCGTGCGGGCTATCATGAGAAGAACCCGACCGGATACCAACTCTTAAATATTTCAATTTAGTAGCAGTAGTAGTAGTCCCGTAAAAGTAGAACTATGATAGAATAGATTTATTGGAGCAATCACCTTTACGACATAATAGAATATAGTTCAATTGCCATATACTTTGGGACATGGGAATATACAGAAATATCAAAACTGGGCCAATCAGCCGGTCCTGTTGCGAAATGTATGCAAAGATCCCGAGTACTACGGTATAGGCTGCAGAAGGGAAACATCCGGCAAACGATGGTCCTGGCGACTTCCGCAGAGACAACCGCCAGAGGGAGGGAATCACCATCAACACAAAATCTCACATGGTCTCCTTCAATCCAGTTACTGTCGGGACAAATTCTGTTCTAATTATATGGCCATTGCATCACTATTTGAACCAATTTACCACTGCAGACTCCATCCCTTGCCTTTCCAGGCTGTCGTAGCAAAGCCAGAGACCAGCAAGGTTCTCTTCTCCTTATTAAATGACACCTGCGTCGTATTGAGCTTATGACCGTTGAATGCAACGCTACTTTCATTGACGTCGTTCACACCCAATATGGTGATGTTTCTCAGAGCGTTCACATCTTTCCAACCACCTTGGTTAATGGAAACATTCAGCTTGCGGCCCTGGACAGTAAACGCTGCAGTAAGTGTGGCATTCGGCGTGGTGCTGGCACCGTCATCGAGATACAGATCCCCTTTTGCATGGCCCGTCTTGTCCAGCGCAACGACCACGTCCCAGGGACTTGTCCGTACCTCCCTGGTGGTGAGAGCGGGCTGTTGGAGTGGGAGAACAGAGCCCCCGCGCACGTAGACCGGGATGTGACCAAGCGGAGCATTAATGGTGGTATTGGCCTGAGCTGGCACAGGTACGGCAGTGCCATTGTACCAATCATACCATATCTCCTTGCCCTCAATAAGGCCTGGGAATACGCCGTTGACCGTTGAAACACCGGGTTCGAGTACGGGGATCACAAGGATAGCAGGACCCAACAGGAACTGACGATCGGCACTGGCAAGAGATGGGTCATTGGGGAATTCCCAGGCCAGCGCCCTCATGACAGTCTGGCCATGGGTATGGGCATGATAGAACAGGGTGTACAAGTATGGCAAGAGCTGGTAGCGAATACTCATGGCAGACTTGCTTGCATCGATAACCGAAGCCCAGACGTAAGCTTCCTGGCTGTGTGCAGAGAGGATGTTGTGGTTCCTGTAGAATGGGAAGAAGGCGCTAAGCTGCATCCAACGGCTGCACAGCTCCATGTCAGAGTTGCCTGCAAAACCACAAGTGTCGACACCAAACATGGGAATGCCAGCAAGAGACATGGAGAGAGCTTGTGGGATGGAATAGAACATATAAATCCACTTGGAATAATTATCACCACCCCAATGGCCCGCAACAGACCCAGCACCGGCGAACGTCCCACGGCCAATGATGAAGGGACGGATGCCTGGAAAGACCGTAGATAGAGCATTGTAAGTCGCTTTCAGGATGCCAAAACCCCACAAGTTGTGAACATCATATTCCAACGTACCATCGGCATGGGTGGCATTAGGGGAGATAGCTGAAACCCCCAGGGGGCCTTTGACATTGTTGATAGCATATGGTGGGTAGTTCACATCGCGGATACCAGGAGTCGGGGTGGTACGGTAGTATGGGGAGGTACTGGTGGATGTAGCTGGATACGCACTCATCGAGGAAGAGATAGATGCAGATGCAGATGCAGCTTCCGTGGTATTAGACACTTCAAAGCCCTCCGGATATTCGAGGACCAGAGCCTGTGGTTCTCCTGGCAGTGCAAAAGGCGGATGAACGGGGTTCAAGCTGAGGTTGCCGCTTCCGCAGCTTCCAACACAGAAAGATGAGATCTCACTCATGTCGACCCACGCGCCGTCAAAGGCCCACTGCTTGTGGAATTCCACGAATTCATTTGTCCACCATGGCCCGGACCCCTCAGACAGCCAGTCGGGAAAAACTGTGTATCCGGGCCACACATCGCCTATATAGAGGCTGCCGTCAGGGTTGGTGATAAAGGCTCCTACCGAATTTCCCCTGTCGAATACAGGGTATCTGACGTAATGTGAGATGGTGTACGCAATGGAATATTCGGCAAACTTACGCATCGGTCTCGTTCTCTGGGTTGGGAATGTAAATAGCTGAGTCAATGATGGGGACATAATATCGTCCGCTTGCGTGAAGACGACCTATGAATCCTGCCCATTGGGTATAGTTGAAGCGAACCGGATCAGCCTCAAAATCCCGGTAGGATTTCATGTAGTCGATATCGGACCTGAGTTTCAGTTAGCCAATTCATCACTCTGATGGGAATGGTCTTCAACGTACCAAACAGACTCCAACGGAATGTTGAATTTACTATAGTTATCGACCACATCCTCAAGTTGACTGATGTTCGCATACCCCCATCGGGTTTGATGGAAGCCAAATGTCCAGAATTGCTGTAGAGCTGGTAGTCCTACCACATTCAAGTACGAAGCGGTGACCTCTGGCTGGCTGGGACCCGGGAAGAAGTAGAGATCGATGCTGCCACCAATAGTACGCCACGTAATATTGTCCGGTCGCAACAAGACATCCTGTCCATGGGCATTACGCAAATAAACACCGTGTGACAAGGAGGTATAATTCATGCCGGGAGCTTTCTCGTTAGATGTCACTAATGACAAGTTACCACTGGCATCTGTGGTGTAGTAACGGGTTTCAAGGTAAGAAGGGTGAGTTCCGTAGAGGTTCCTGTACATTA